AATTTGTTCTATCAATTTTAATGAACTGATGACAAAACAAACCTGTCCATACTGTAGATATATTAGTGTAGCTCTAGAGGCTTAAACAGATTTGTTTGCTGACCTCTAGAAGATGCAAGTTCTCTCTAGTAAATGTTTCATTGGTCTCAAAACACCATCACCATTTAATTAAATTATGTCCCTCCTTCAGTACATCTCCCTTATTTTTTAGGTATCTATATTAACATGCCGCTAAACCGTATTAAAGTGAGATCCGGAGAAACAACAGATTTTTTAAAGTCAGGATCCTCTGTGTTCAGTGAAGGGATTTTAAAACCTGTCAACCAGGTCTCCTATAAGCCACATCGCTGGGAAAATCCCAAGACTGACCCAGTGCTTACAGCTGTAATACAAGTTTACAACTGTAAACCCCCATCAGAGTTGAGGGTTCCTGTTCCATACTACAGGAAACAATGTTATGTCAAGATGGTAATTTTTAACCTAATGCTGCAGCTATTATGTGATGACCTTTGGTCTTCAGTATGCACCTTAAAATGAGTTAATAATGCTGTTTGAATTTAATGAGAAGCCGTTATTTATAGGAAAGGAAAGTTGTTAAATTTGACAAGTTGTCGGGGCTTCATCTGACTGAATCCGTTCAATTATGTGAAAGCTGTCTAATGCCATAGCTTTGATATTTACTAAATCTTGTCTGTGCTTGTGTGTGTTGGTGTTTCTATGGCTACTAGGAGACCTCTGACCTGTTCCCCAGACAATCTTCTACACCTGCAGTGTCGTGGGGGTCTCCTTGGAGCTATAGAAAAACAGACACACACAATTAATTTCTAGAGTCACTTTGTTCATTAAAAAGAACTCTAGGAATGTAAAAGGGTAAGTAAAACATTAAATTTAAAAGTTTACGAGTCAAACCCCTGAGAAACTGATAAAATAAAGCACCAAATTTTAAATAAAAAACAGGCTGTCGGGACTACAGTGTTCACCGAAAACAGAACATGCTGTTCTGCACGAAAAATAACATTTTCACAATAACAGTAGGTAATAGACCCTACAGAAAGCTAAAACTATGTTGTTTAGAGTGGACACAAGTTGTTGTTTAGTGACACAAGACACAAGGGTAAGCATCCCTACTTTCACAAACAGCGCAGTGGGATCTTTAATGAATAACACCCGTCAGGGCATTAAAATTTTCCTTGGAAGTCTCAACTCCCAACACTGTCCTGTGTACAGTATTCTGAAGCATGAGAAAAGAGTGCTTGATTTAGATTTAGAAAAATTGCTTTGCACTTCATGAGGGTTCTTTTTGGAAAAAGTATGATATACCTTTTTGTGTTACCACTCTAAGACCAAGAAATCATTTTTTAATTAAAGAATTTTAAACAGTTTTTAAAAATCCAAACAACTTCTTAATAGCTAAGTAGCCTTTTTTTGTCCGGGATGAAAACCCAAGAAGAAAGATATGTCATAAACTGTTGACCGCCTGTTATGCTACAGTGTATTTAAAAGTGTAGAAAAATGTGGAGTTTTTAAGACATGGCCAGGTCTCCCTTGTTAAACTAATTGGGGATGTCTACTTTCACATACAGACTTACGTGAGAGTGTCAGTTTACAGAAATCTACTCCAAGCACTCTATCAGCTCATTTGTTGACTGGGTTATGTTCTACTGAGCAGATAATGTTCTGCTAATGCAGACTTTGTGGCCAAAATACGCTCTGTACATCTTGTGAGAAGACTTGCATGCTTCGGATTCCTACGCCATTTGTTCCCCATTACTGAACCTCAAAGAATATCCCACGTAATTTCAGGAAGAAGAGCAAGCACCCAGGCTGACACTTTGGTCTGCAATTAAACCAAACAGACAATTTGTATGTCACACTATGCGGATTTGGAATGTTCATTATAAACCAGACCTTAAATAGAATATGTAAGATCAGCAAACGCACAAATCATTCAGACATCTGGTCATGCACACCAGGAGCCTGCCAGCCTAAGAGGGAGATCAAAACTGCAGCAACCTTTTTTTGTTAGCAGCTTGTTGCCATAAACCTTCCAAATTATGAGTTTCCTTCCAATGTCTTTTGAGTGCATGTAATAATTATTAACATAGATGTGTATGCACTGAGGAGAGTATAGACAGAAACAAGAGGTTCTGGTGAAGGCGGATAATTCTCAGATCCCCAAATTTATGAGAACCATAAAACCATAGCTTGTCTTTATGCTCACAGCTTCAACCACATGATATTGGTGGGCCGATTTAAAATAATTGTCGACCCAGATCAAAAAACCTCCTTGACTTTCTACCTGGTTTCACAGATGCCCAAAATAGTATTATTTTTTTCGTTTTCTGTGAGTGGCATCTTGTGATGTCATTATCCAGTCGTGATCTACACGCCTGTTGACCCAGCACATTTTGATTAGGGTGTCGAGCAGCAACCCTTCATTTCAAATCATTTCCTTTCAGTATCGTTCTAATATTTGTTACATTCTGTAAATGTTTACATGACGTTACACGTTTAAACCACCACAAGCTTGATGTTTGGGTAGGACATCTAGTGTCTATATACAAAGATTAAAACAAAACCAAGATATTTCCTCAAGATGGTGAATTGCCCTTTTTTTTACTTTTTAAATCTACTTCTCCATTTCTCGCTCCAGAATATATCGATTGAATTTATGAAGCACTTTTCATTGCAAAGTTATGTGTATTTAGCATTTTCGTGAGGTGTTTCCCTTTACCTTAAATATACAGAACAGAGGTACAATTCTGAGTTGAAACAAGCCATAACATATACTGTAATTTACTTGCCTATAGTAGATGGAACTACAGTCATCTGCTATACAGGTCATAATGTCACAGAACTTTACCAGATTAGGAGTGTGGAGCTGCATCACCGTGTGTTGTGTTTCTCCTTCCCAGTGTGGAATTAACCTTGGCTTATTCCTTATTACCAGACTACTGTACCTTGCCCTGCTTGTAGTGCAGGCATGGGTAGCTAAATCCCAGCTATCTTAACAAGACATGAAAAAAAATCAAAGTAAAATAGACCAAATGCCCTTTCCATTCACTCTCATTCTGGGAGCAGATCATTGTTTATGAGATGGGGAAACTGAGAACTGATTTAAAAGCTCAGGTCTAGCTTTGTGGATGTTTTTCCCCTTATGAATTGTGCCTGTGTAGCTCTCAAACTCTTGCTGTGAGAGAATTAGAGTTCAGAAGCTTTCAGCAGACAGTATCAATCGCGATTCACCCCCCACACTGAGTCTGACCCTGGGAGAGTGTGAGAGACAGCCTGAGAGGCAAAAGGAGTTTAAAATATTCCCTCTCTCAGCAGCGAAGCACTTAACATGATGAGGTCTCAGGAATCATTATTAGGAATCCTTTGGCCTGCAGCCTTGGAAATAGATGCAGCCAAGACATCCAATAGATTTAGTTTGCTGGATCTTGATGGGGGAAAAATGATGACAGTGCCTTGGCCACCAACTGTTCACAGGACGATTGAGAGAAAGAGAATTTGGTCATACAGTCAGCCTGGCAGTATTTAAGCCTCTCACCACATTGAGAAGTCAATGAGAATGAAACATGGTTGCAGAAGTATTAGAATGTAATGATTTTAACTCAGATGGTTCTGCATGTGCAGTGTTTTATATGTGTTGTTGTTGTCATTATTATTGCAGCAGGGGTATTAAAAAACACATTCTCCTCTGTTCTGTTCCATTAGCAAAACCCCAAGGCACCAATGTTTAATGGTATTATCAGTAGGAAGAGTAACGTGTTTCAGCTGTCTGTCAGGAACTCCTTTCAATTCACTAAAGAATTATCTTATTTTACTTCTAATTTGAAAACGCTCAGTGTTTATTTATGATCAAGGCCTTTCTTAAATGGTGTATGACTAATGCTGGTTTGTAGGGGACCACCCGTTTGCCAGCATGCACGACATAATTAAATCAAACGTAAGACAATAAAATGAATCTGATCAGTGCTCCATGCTTTGCTGAAGCAAACTGTTGTTTGGACCTCATTTGCTTGACTATAATTTTATACCATGCAATTAGAACTGAAATGTGAGCAATATTAAAAATCACTGAAAATGTCATTCTGCCCAGAAAGAAATGTGATTAATTTTGTACACTATCTGTTAATTTCTCTTAAGGGTTATGCGCTCCTCCATGTTGTTTCATGTTTGTTATGACAGGTTGTAACCATTAAAGATGAAAGTGGGATGCAGGGGAGAAAATTATCACAATATCTCTTAGCGACTACACCTCTTTGAAAATAAGCAGATGTATCTTAATTTTACTTCCAACATGTGTAATTATCCCCCTAGGACTATATCCAGGGAGATAGAAGATCATCGGTACAAGCAGATTCAGTTTGAGAAGGAACAAAAAGACGTTCATGCAAGGTAAAATGCATATATACATATAAAATGCATGTATACATATATGCATAGATTTACTATAATCTCTTATTTATTCACCAAATTCCTCTTTGTAAATATAATGAGAATGATATCAAGAGCATTACTCAATAAACGTACATCTGAAACAATAATCAGAATTCTTAAAGACCAAAGTTCCCAATGACATGGGGTCTGAAAACACCCTCTTTTATAAGTGTTATCCAAGTTTATAGCTTTTCATGTATATTTGTGAGGACAAACAGCATTCTGTGTCTCTATGTGCTTATCTTTAAAAGAGAGGAATAAGCATTATTTATGGGAGGACAAATTGAATCACATTCTTGTGATCAAGTTACCAAACATGAAAATCCTTTAAAGGGCATCACACTGTCTCTAAGAAGAAAATCAAATGAAACTACTTCTGGTGAGAAAGAATGCTAGGCGCAAAGGTGTTAGATTTCACGTTACTGCCATTCTTAGAAATACATATATAATAAATTGCTTTCACATGTAGGCCACATTTTCAGTGCTGTTCGCCGAGTACAGATTGCACTTGTCAGGCGATAGATGAGAGCATGCAAGTCAGACCCTCCGTACTGGAACAGAATGTGTATATAGTAATTACCTTCTGAAAACCTGATTCAGTCTTACGTAAAGTGTGTTTATACACTGCAACTTCATCTATATCCATAGCTATTATTGCACCATTTCTGTGACCTGTTGGCGAAATAACTGTGTGATGTTCTTTTCTCCTGCAGACTGTGCAGAGAGTTAAGGGACAAAGAAGAAAGTTGGCTGACCTGTCAACAGCAGGTCAGGCATTTACAGGAGCAGCTGTCTGAATGGGAGAGAAAGGAAAAGGACAGAGTGAGACAAAACTCCAGAACAGAAAATGAAAATGCAACCCTGAGAGCTGCCCTGAAGCAAGCCGAGGAGGAAATCACAATGCTGAAGAGCGAAAGGTTATCACCTGTTGCGTTTTATTAATACCGTAATGAGAGGCGCAGGAGCTCATGCATTTCTGGCAACTTGGGGGATGATGTAGTGAAGAAAAAACTAAATAAATCTGCTATAACACAGCCAGGCACGTGTTCTGTATTACTGTCCTGCACACCGGCCACTATAAATACCTCAGATATTATAAAAGAGTGAAACTCCTTAAATTAGATGACTTAGAAATCTGTCTTAATGTGCAGTGAGACATTTGCAGGTTTGTCCAACTTTCTTTCAGGCACACACACATGTGCCTCCTCTTTTCAAAGCACAACTGTTTTCCTCAGTTACCCAAACACCCTGCCAAAGAGTATAGCACCTGCAGTTTAGCTAACGTTGTAGGGGAAAACACAGCATGATTTAAAAAGAAAAACAGAATTTACCTCTTCCTGACTATATTGTTAATGACTTGTTTGTCTACTTCCTGCTGGTACGCAATAAGAGTCACCCAGTCTAACTAATCAAACCTCAGTAGCTAAGACTGCAAATATTAGTCACTGGAACACTTCTGAGATCGGTATTTGACCGTGACACTTTTTTTTCTCCATAAAAATAGATCAGAATGAGTTTGAGAGACAAATGTTTTCTTGCAAGAGCTCAAGATTGAAAGGAGCGCTTTTTGAAGTTACAAGAATACAGACAGTACATATACACACATATAAAAGTTTCATTTACTGGTAAACAATAAAGCTATTCATATTCCTATTCTGTTAAGGACATCACAACTCATACTTTAAAATGTGGGCAGAGACCACAGCAGTTATTTTGGGATCTTTCTCACTTTGCATGCATGGCTGTGTCATAAAATTGTTTTGGTTGCTGAATGGAGCAATTTAACATAAAAACAGCGAGACATTTGTGTTGGTTAGAAGTGGAAAAATAATATGCACACAATATTGAAGGATCAATTATAGAACTGTGAAATGTCTGTTATATTGGATTCATTTCTGAATCCTTTGTCCTTTGCCTTTTAAATATATCATTAGTCATTATACAATCCTACAGTATAATGTAACATAACTTCTATGAAGACCTTTATCATCCTTCATATTTAAAGTGTTTTTGCCAGTTCTGTGTAATTCCATTTCAGAGTGGAGTTAAAAGAACTCAAACGTTTGTTAGGCTATATACAGTAATGACCTACTTTAAAATTGTTTGAGAATTTTTTTGCCATCATTTATTTGAAAAATGATTGAGGGAATTCAGAGAGATATTATTGGAATTGCATATTATGGCTATTGATAACACAAATATTTTCCTTCCTCCTAATTTACTCTAGACATACAATTTGGGGGAAGTTGATGTTGTTCTCAAAATATAGTGTAGGCTAACCTGCAATATTCCTGGTAATAACGTAGTTGACTATGGGCTAGACAGAATGAGAACTTGCTGGTTATCATTTTAATTTCAATCTTATTACAAGATGGAGGACCATACTGAATAATTCAGACCAGCCTTTGGGTAAGCTCTTTCTGTAGTCTTTGTTTTGTTTATAGCACAGCACTGTTCACAGAAAAATAAAAGAATCTCGGGATATAGGATATGTTTTGTCATGTTCAGTACTCACCCAGTTTGGGATGACCGGTTGTTTCAAGACTAGGCTCTCTGACATTCACTCCTACACCTTCTCAGGAGTGAATAATTCTTGTGGGTTTGACCCTCCCTTGGACACGTCCACTAGCAGAGCCATTAATCCTTTGAGCTGCTGCAAGCTCCATAGTGCCTGACAGGAGAGTTAGTGCTAACTGGAGGACATTCATCACTCATTGACATCACTGCGACCCTGCAGGTACTCATAGGAGTTGCTGTTCGCTGAGAAGCCAAACAATCTTTGACCAGCTTTTCCCATCTCTACCCTGCTGGTGCTCTGACACTTGGGAAATTCAGGTCATAGTTGTATAGTGACATGACCCAGGCACTTTTAAGATGAAATTTTATGACTCAAAAATTCTGGCAGTCCCGTCTTATGAGAAGCAGGTTTACTAAAAACGGCTTTTTTTTTTTACCAAGCTTGTAAAACTGGTGTAATCAAAGTAGGGCAATTCTTTTGTTGACATCAGATTATTTCAGTTTTTTTTTTAAGTCAGTTTTGGAACTGAAACAAAGCAGTTCAGTTTTCTCACAGGATGCAGAAGCTTAAAGAAATAATTCTTAAGGCAGTATGACTAATTTTCTATCTCATGTTTCTGAAACTATCATTTTAATGGAGATGTTTGGTGCCTCAGCACTAAGAGATAAACTATTACCACACCAGTATATTTAACAGGCAAAGTAGGTTCTGGGCGGATATGTCATGTTCTCCTTTGTTCTCCAGTATTGCACATTTGCTCACTGTTAGCTCTCCAACCTCAAAGCTTCGAAAACAGACATGACTGGGATACACAGCCCTTTAAAAGAGTGACAATTTCACTTAAGACAGAAGCTAGCCATGGTGTATTCTGGTGCTGAAGGAGTAAATCATTCTCACTGAGAGATGAGAGAAACATATTGTCTGCAGTTTGGGGACTGCCAAATACTCGACACCATTGCAGTATTACAATCCCAAGTGTCATAGTGGAATCCATAAACGTATATGAACCTGGAGTCTTCATCCGCCCTTTTATGTCACCTTTCACATAGGCCTGCAGTTATACTGTATCTCTGGCCTCCTTAGGTAAATGGACAAAGGTGTGGACTTTCCTGTTGTCACAACAAATGGTGCTTTTCACAAATACTCTCATATGCAATTTTTATGGCCCATTTAATGGTAAACACACAGGGGAAAAGAACAAGTAGTTCACTTCTTATACCCATCGACTGAAACTCATAGTATGAATTTGATTGCAAGAGTCTCTTTTTTAAATTGGGCTCGTCTGCTTGTGAATGCTAAAAATAAGGCTTTTAGTACAGGGAATAACTAAATCGCTCTCAGCAAATGATGTAAATAAACTCATGGATGCAGCAATTGAAAGATCTTAGTGAAGGAGTCCCGAGTTTTGTAGTAAAACTGTGCTGGTAGAATCATTAGAGGTTTTCCTAGGATAGCTCTGAATTTGGAAAGCTCTGAATGTGCCTAAGATTGCAGAGCACGAAACGTGCACGCACATGAATTAACTGCTAAAACCACATACTGTTTATTTTTCCTGTGTCTTGCGAGCTGCCCTGAGGCTTGGGTGAGCTCATGCAGTTGGGGTCTTGGTCTACTAACGTACCTGCACATACTGTATAGCCTTCAATCTGAAAAAAAATGAATGCTTCCTTTAATGTCATTTTCTAAAGATATCTGGCCTCAAGAACCAAAATTAAAGACACTGCCTTAATCCTAATCAGATCCACATTCTACCAAGAATTTCTCTGGGAAGCAAAACCCAAGGAGAAGGGAAGGGACTTTTCCCAAAATAGGACAGGTGTGCACAAGCACGATGACGAATATGTGATGTGATAGGTAAAGATATATGGGATATTTTCATTGGAGTGAGTAACATATACCACATATTCCAATTAATGAAAGAAGGCTTCATTGTCAGATAATTTTATTTTTATAACATAAAGCTGAAAATTAAAGGTTTTATTGTTTTCATTTGCTCCTTACCTGAAGTTTTAATGTGCCCATACTCACTGGGTTAGATTTATTCGACCAAGTAATAACCTTCTTAGTAATATCTTGGAAGACCCTTTCTGCATTCATCCAGTTAAGTAGCACAGACTGCATTTTCTTGGCAACTACAGTGATTTACAAGACAGTTCTTTCATAAGACAAATAACCAACAGAATTATTTTGCACTGACAGTTCTGTGAAATGTTCTTTGGAACCCTTTAACAAGGGGATAGGTTAGAGGGATGTTTGCAATATGACTGCAAAAATATCACCTCCAGAAATTGTTTCTCTTTATACCCATGGAAATGCAAAATTTCTGGGAAACTGACTTCAAAACTTGGATGATAGTAATAATGAAGAGTACAGAAATGGTGGTTTATTCCCTTCAGTTTAATGCTCACTGATCTTTCATTGTAATTCACAGCAATCAAAAAATCTCAAAATATGCCATGCAGTCGCCTTTCCATATCAGTTTTTAGATAGTTTTTCTTGGTAATAGAGCATGAAAGGCATTGTTTAGTAGAAAACATCTGGAGGATTTCGATGTTTTCTCTCCCAGCTGTTTGAATTATTGCTTTCATGTTTTTGTTTGTCACGGGCACGTTCCGAAAAGACACAACAGATTATAAACCTTATGTGTGAGTGGTTAAAATTACAGCAGGATGTGGGCTCCCTACTGATTGCAGCAGATTAAAAAATATCTATTGAGATGGCTATGGCATTTGTATAGATTTTTTTTGAGCTGTATGTCCAATTAAAAAATAGATAGTATTTCTATGACAAAAGGTATTCTTATTAGAATTGTTATGCCATGCTTCTTAATTATGGTACATTTTCTGGTACGTTATTTTTCTTCTGTGCAGTGTGCAAGAAACAGTGTTATTACCCAAGGGAAGAGTTCAGCAATGGGATTATTTTGCAGTAGTACTGCAATTAAGTCCCTTACCACAGCTTTGAATTCAAATGTCATTTATTAAAACTTAAAATGTTGTTGTTAAGAATAGGCCTCAAATATTGCAAATACAGTTGGGGGTTAATACAGCAAGCACCTAAAACATCTGTCTGTGATCTTGGACTAGTCACAGACTTTGCTAAGTTATTGTGATACCATAATATAAAGTATGTTTCCCATGTGCTGAATACATATTTGTGTCTGACTTGCCTTGCAGAGAAACCACAGTACTCTCTCACCAGAGTACAATTCAGCAATTGCTAGAGAGCTTCAGACAGAAGATGGTGGATGCTGAATATCTTAGGTCACAGGTATGTTGCTGTAAGGCAAGTCTGGCTTCCACTTGAATTAATTTTCTTCTCTGCTGCCAACAGACCCAAAACGTCTTGACTCGTGCAAAATAATTTCCTAATCTGTTAACCCTGTATGACTGGCTTGAACATGCCTGCTGTGAGATTGTTTTGCCTTACATTTGAATTAAATGGATGAGTAAAAGGTTAAACTAATAAAAAAGCTGACATGCCTTTAACATACGTAAAAGGGCTTTAAAGCAACAACACCTGCGAACAGAGTTTGCAGAGTTCAAAAGAGTACGTATTTATATTTTGTCCTCTAAATCAGCTTTATAAGGAACGAAACTTGTTGAAAAACGGTCAAATCTGCAGCATCTCAGCACAGTGTTCCCATTGCAGTTTGCAAACACTGGCCCACAGAAATTATAAGGCAAGCATAATACACCACAGCCTCAGATAAAACAAAACTAAAAAAGGTGATGTCCGTTAAACAATGCCGTTGTGCTGCTGATGTGGCCTTCTCAGAACAGAGTGTCACTTGCATTTGTCCACAGTGTTGGTATTCCAGCCAAAACAATTGCAGCCGAGTCTCACAGGACTGAGCTCCGCTTGGGTATGCTCTCGAAGCTTCAGGCCCTGTGCAGTATCCATGTTCAACATCCTTCCATGTTCAACACAATTGCATGCCTGGTAGTCCTTGTTTATTCTTCATTTTTTTGACGAATGTGGTGATAACTTTTTTTTCCCCAGCACTCAATTGTTCCCTGTTCATGGCTGCTAACTGACTAAGTTGTTTTCATGAATCGGAGATTTACATCCACATTTTCACGACAAGGCTTATTTGAGATGTGTTGTACCATCTTTCCAAAACCAAGAAAAGGCACTTATTTAAATTAGTTTTAATTAACCTCATTCTTGCTTTCAGGTCAGAGAAGAACTTGAAAATGAAAGAGCCAAGCTCTCCTTGCACTTAAAGGAAAACGAGCTGAGCTTGAGAAGGGAAGCTAGTGTGGAACTAGATATCGAAAGACAGAAGTTTCAGGAATTGCTCCTGAAGTACCAACACGAGCTTGAAGAACTCAGAAAAAAGGTATTTAGTTCCCTTTTTTGGATACCAGTAAATGGGCAATAATTAACAGTTGAGGTGTATGTTTATAGGAGTCTAGTCCATCACAGGGCAGACACATAGACACACACCAGGACCAGTTTTCCCAGAAACTATAACCCACCAGTATTTTTCAGACTGCAGGAGGATATGGGGAAAACACACACACTCCACACAGATAGCACCCTAGATCTGGAATTGAACCCAGGGCCCCAGCACTGCAAGGCAGCAATGCTGACCACTGACCACTGCGCCAGGGTTTATTCGAGTGGAAAGAGATTTCCGAGTAGACTAAAGCACTTAACATGCCAGGGCTTTGAATACATGCATTTGAATTTTTTTTTTCCGCAGGTGCCAGACCTTGTTCTTACTGCTACCCAGGAGCTGAAGGCTGAAGTGTTGCTACTGGAAGAAAAACTCCGGGAGGCTCATCTGAGCTTGACCGAGAGGGACAGCCGCAAAGAGGAGGAGATTGACAGTTTGAGGAAGGTGGTGTCTGCCCTGGAAAACCAGCTGGCGCACGAGAAGCACACCATTGACCACTTGCTTTCAGAAGTGAGACAGGAGGCTGAACAGAAGTCAATAAAGCTGAGCGCCGTGACTAAGGAACTGGAACAATTAACGCAAGAATCATCTCAGTTGCAAGAGGAGGTGAGCAACAGCCACAGCACGAGGTGTTAACACAGAGGGTCTATTCTAGCAGCAGCCCCCTGCACTGAGTCACCATTCCTATTTTGTCCTGTGGCATGCTCGTTTTCTGGAGGGCCTTCTGTTCGCGGCTGTGTGCTTGGCCAATCCACACAACGCGCTGGTTAGTCGAATTTTACAGCTGACATACTCTTTTATGCTGAATAGAAGGTGCTTCTTTTTGCAAAGAAAAATGCCCTCTTATGTCCTGCCTTTCATGGCATTTTAAAGATAGCATGAAGCCATTTTCATATCTGTTCATGATATAAAATCAATGCCAGGGGCCTGTGCACGCCTCGGGCCCTGTGTTTTTTAATTCCACACTTTCAACAGCCAGTTATAATAGTTTTATTGATTCTGAAGCGCTTACATTTAACAGTTTATGAATACTGCATGACAGGGATCACATAGGGCTCCAATGATAAAGTTCCATTTGAGAAGAAGCAGGAAAAAAAAAGGTCAGATGTATTTCTCATTTTTCTTTGTTGCTGTTAGAAAATCTAAAAAAATTGATTCCATAACAAAAAAAAACTGCCGGGCTCTAACGATGTCCATTTAATCACCAACAGACTGAGCCCTGATTTGATAGTGATTAAGAGGTCACGCACCCTTCGGCTTCTTTAAGGTGGAACTTGGTGTGTTGCGGAATAGACAGGCACTGTGGAGGATCCTTTCCTCTTCCTCGTCACGCAGTGTTCCTGTGTTAGATGGGCGGTGAAGAACTGGCCGCGCTCTCCTGGGATCTGGCAGGGTGGAGCCCGGGGAGATTCTGCTCTCACCACGCAACAGCGGCTCCCGTTGCTCAGTGGGGGGGAATCTGGAATTGGCACGAAACCGTGCGAAGCCTAACCTTACGGGACTGCTGCCTTGATTTTCTTATGGCTCTGGTGCTCTCATCTCCTCTCCTTGGCTCTGGGTTTTGCGGGCGTCTTTAAATCATTCAAATACATGAAAGACTCAATTAAGAGATAAGATAAGATCACTTTATTGGCCATATACATTCTCTTGCATTAGGAACTCATCTTTTCGCATACCCCTGCTTGCTCTCCATGAGACACAGACACACAGGTAGGGAGAGAAGCTGGGGGTCAGAGCGCAGGGTCAGCCATTTGGACGGCGCCCCTGGAGCAGCTGGGGTTAAGGGCCTTGCTCAAGGGCCCAATGGAAAAGGATTCCTCTGCCAGCCGTGGGATTTGAACCAGCAACCTTCTAGCCACAGGCACAGATCCTTAGCCACAGAGCCACCACTCCACACTGGTCATATAAAAATTGAAGAAAACTAAGGCTTCTGAAGGACTGGAGTTGAAGTCCCTGGAACTGGCCTGGGGGACAGAGATCAATAAGACATGTGTCTATTTATTTATCAGGTTTCTGTGAACATTGTGGGAGTAAAGGTGTGGATAAAGCACTGAGTTTGGGAGAGGGTAGTCGTAGCAACAGTAGTAATAAGAATCACAAACCGAAAACAACAATGTCAGAAAAGCGTTAACTTACAAGCAACAGTGAGACATGCAGTAAAGCTGGTAAATGTGTCCACTGGTTCTTGAACCCACTTCTTTCATTGAAAAAGGCATATTGAAAGCATGTGTCACTGTAAGTGCGATTCCTTTTTTTATCTCACACGAGCACATTGTAAAACTTTAAATTCTGTAACAGAGAACTAAAGGTTAACTTGAAGTAAAGGTTAATCTGTCAGGTTAAATGTCATCAAAACCTGACCTTTTTATAAATTGGACTTGTAAAATACAAACAGAGATAGTTGATGGCAAACCGAGTGGTATTTCTGTTTTCGGGACATTTCAAGTAGAAACAGATCACAAATGTACTTTATTTAGTTTGAAGTTTTTCTCTCGTTTCCGGCATTCTTTGGTTCTTTTTATGATTATGAGGATTGTCTGGAAACGGGTATTTGAGGAAGACAGTAATAAAAATGCAAAATTCATGCCTGGATAGAAAGGCATGATCCAGCTCTTTAAAGGGAACAACTTTATTTTTAGCAGCATACTGCGTGTCACTAATTTAAAGGAGAACAAAAGTAACAATTGAACAGTGAGCAAAGCTGGCTGACAGTGCCGCCGTTCTTTGTCTTGAAGAATAGAACAGGGGCTGTCCAGCGTAAAAGGATCAGTCTGATGTTTCAGAGGGAATTAGGAAGTGAGTGAAGAATAGAATGTTACTAAAAACAGAATGAGAAAGCACCTTATCTTAGAAATTCGCAAACGCATTGTAATCAGTATGTGTATTATTCTATATATATATATTATATAGAGAGAGATGGAGGCACAGTTCTTGAGTCCTAGGTTTGATTCCAGACTGGGGCACTTTATGCACGGAGCTTCTGTGTTCTCATTGTGGCCATGTGGGTTTTCAGGATGTGCTGTTTTTTCCTCCCATGGCCCAGAGACATACTGTCCAGGTTATTTTGCGTCTCTGAATTGTCCCCGGTGTGTGTATGTCCTGTGATGGACTTGCAGCTCTTCCAGGATGTATCCTGTCTCGTGCCCATTGTCTGCCAGGTTATATTCCAGCTCACAGCTGTTCTTTATTGGACTAAGAAATCTTTGAGAATAGATGGATATGTGCATTCTTAATTGTGCCTTTAACCTTTCGTGTAACAGCTCTCTATTTGAGCTAGCTTTCACATACTATGAGTTATTTCAGAACATTAAATGTAAATGCCAGACAGGTTTAAAATTTTTTATGCATGCTGTATCAAAGAGAAAATGATCGAATCAGACAAGCAAAAATATGATCTGAGCTTGTGCAGATTTCAGTCTCCAAACCTTTTACAGCTTTGGCTTGAACATTCACCGTGCAGCCAATAGGTGGTGTTATTACATACGTCTTTGAAGAGCAAAATCAGCTCCAAACTTGTGGCAGAAGCTTTCTTTGGCTGGCAGGTGGGGGGGATATTGGGAAATACTTTACATCCTTGTTTCCAAGTATGCCAGTATGAGGGAAGAATATTGTTTTAAATGCACATTTCAGAGTCAATCAGCAAATGAAACCGCTCTGCATTCTGGCCATTAACATGATGTAAATGTGCCGTGAGCCGACTGCATGTCAACTGGCTTTAGTCTGGTTTACGTGCGGTATTGCACTGATTTCTTGGATGTGATTAGGGCCTGATGAGTGCAACATGCAGGCATGCAGCCCAGATGAGCGCCGGTGCTGTGATCTGTGCTTTCAGAACTCCCTGCTCCAGGAGACAGTGCGCAGGGAGTGTGAGGAACGCTACGAGCTGACGGAAGCCCTGAGCCTGGCCCGGGAACAGCTCCTGGAGCTGACGCAGCTTGGCAGGGGGCTCCAGCTCTCTCGGCACTCCGTCAGGCGCGGCAGCCTGGCCTCGACCCCTCCATCTGCCCAGAGCCAGGGCCAGAGGAGCGGCAGCAGCAGCCGGGGCTCGGAGATGCAGATGAAGCGTGACAGCGTGACGAGATCCAGCGGATGCCCCCAGATAGCTCCCAGCTCCTGGCTGGGCAGCGGGAGTAAGGGGATACCCCCAATCCCCCTTCCACACCCTCCACGGGGGAGCGCATCCTCCATGAGAGAGTCCAGGCAGCGAATCGCAGCTGCGATAAGGAGGCCAGAGAAAATGTGAGTCACCAGCGCCTGAAGAGAACCCCTTCTCTGAATGTTTTCCATGTGATCAACATCACTTTGCAAGACTTTCCCATTTTTATTTTTTTTAGGTATTTTTTTTTTATTAATTGGCAGGCGTAATGTTGAAAATCTGCATGGCATGGAACTCATTTCCTCTTTAAAACGCTCCACATGGGATGATTCTTTTAAACCCTTCAAGTGCTGTCTGACACTGGTCTTCATTGGCCACCGATCACTGTCACGACATAGCTGGGAATAAAAAGAGGGGTTTTGTTATCTTAATTAACAGTCACTGTGTTTTTGAGGAAGTGCAAGTCGGAATTGGCAGAGTATTTTGAACAGTTAAAGTGGAAAAATAACTGATTTCTTACTGTTTCTGGAACATATTAATTTCTATGAACTCACTTTATATTGGTCCTTTTTAAAGGTTTTTACCAATGTTTTGAGTGCCAGGGGATGGTATTTACAGGAAACTGCAGTTTGACTAAAAGTATCCTGTTTGCATTTGAATGTTAATTGTACTCTGCTGGGCAGAGACGTCTAGTTGTATTTTTGTTAAAATAAAAAAGCTCTTTGGCAGGTAAATACTTTTTTTATGAGATCAAGTGATTGATGCCCATAAAATTAGTCAAAATCCTGTGCTTAAAAAATGAACTTGCATTCTCTGTTTAAAAAAAACAAAACCTTGGTTTGTGGATAACATTTAACAGACAAATAGCAGGCTTGAATGGCACAGAAGTTTGGCAGTAATTTACGTTAAAGGCTGCCTCAGAATGGATGAGCCTGACTGACTACAGGCAAGCCTCCGAAACCCAGGAGATATTAAAGCATTAGCATAACCTGGCAGCTGTCTGCAACCCCAGTGTGTTTCCTTTTAGACCTTTCACAGGTCCTGAAGAAGGTGGGGATGGTCATGTATCGGACACAACCAGCACTTTATTGACCCTTTTTGTAACGAAAGAGATCGCCGCCTCTGGAGGTGCTTCCGTTCAACACAGAGGAGCCTGGCTTCATGCCTTGGTTTTTGTATACATAAGACGGGAATCGGTTTAGTGTGAAAACTGAGTAATCATCTCAGTGATACGGCCCGCACAGCGTTCCACCATGCAGCCATTCGTGACCTGTGAAACTGATAACCATGTGATTGCAAGGGAAACCTGGGCATTAATCAGGGTTTCAGGGTGTATAGAATTGTATTAGTTGTCGTTGCAGTTTGGTGAATTTGGTTTCAGTTCCTGCTTCCCTCCCCTTGCGGAGAGCAGGTGTAGCTTTTGTTCCCAGTGTGAGTGACTCACTGCTCACGGGCTCCAGCAGTCCTGCGTGAGCCGCCTGCCGTGGGTCTCACGCTCCGCAGCCTCACATGCAGCCCTGAGCTTAAATCATTCCGTCCACGGGCCAGTGAAGGACAAACAAATTGCATAATGCTTCCTGCTAACAAGCACCCATTTGTGTTTTCAACCTCTTTGTCATCTGTTATCCTAAGAGACACCCAAGCAGTTTCAAATGTGAGCTCCGGCCTGTTTTTACAGACGTAACCTCTAACAAACTAAAGCCTCAGCTGTATTGCAAAATTGTGTACTATATACACACGAAATAAAAACAACACAGGAAAAACTTAACCAGCCTGTAAACATCCCTTTCGTTTTCAACTGCAACATTTTAATCAGTTTAATGTCTACACAGTCAGTGATTTAAAGTACTTTTTTATATCAGGCATGTAAAATAAGGAGAGAGTGTTCTGGTATCGTTCTTCATGAACTTCAGTCCTTCTGTCGAAGTTCAGAAACTGACAGTCCATGTTTCAAGAAAATATTTGATTTTTTTCCCCCTGAAATACACTAAGTTGTGAAGTCTTTTCATCCCTCATAATTACATCTGAATTTCTTAATTGAAAGCTAAGCATATGAAGCGTATGAGCAGATATTGATTTGGTGCTATGTTACTTTTTCCACTGAAGTAATGTTATGTGTACAATTGTGACATGATTAATCTAACAGCTCTGTACAACTTCATAAGGATGCAAGCGAAGGGACATTTAAAGAAAACAATAAAGGAAAACTTTGTTCTTTTGGGCATTTTTCATGTACCTCACATTGACGTAATTCTTTTCTGAAAACAGGAAGGAGGATACCAGCGAGCACACAATAACCTGTTTTCCAATATCTTCAGCCCAAGGCCCCCTTTAACCTGGGAATAATAGCACAGATAAAAGAGGTTACGTTTCTTTTAAAAAATGTTTAACCTTAACGTGGCTAAATTTACCCCTTATTCTCTTTCCTGAGAAAACAAAAAAGTACAGCCAGAACGTTGGCGTGGCTCAGCAGTGTTTTGCAGATTTGGACCTGTAGATGTTTGTGCTGCCAGACTTCACAAGTGAACTGCCAGCAGCAGGGGGAGGCTCTGGTAAGCCCTGGGTGTCTGTGGACTTTCAGAATGGTGTGACTTCATGCTTGAATGGCATATCCAGCCTACTGTGATACTATTTTTCCTGTGAAGTGTGTTGTTATTCCCTTTGTCAGAAGTGCTTAACGTAAAAGAACTGAAGCAGGCAAAAATGAGAGTTTACAACCTCCAAAAAGAAATGCAATAGATTTTTGGCTGGCCCTAACGCAGTTCAGTTTCAGAACTATGGCTGATAGCAGGTTATAAGTGATCCTGCTCTGCAATGACATTTGATGAATTTAACACATTTTTTTTTAATTCAACAAGAATTTAAAAAGTCAACAATTTGCCAACAAACAAGCTTAAAGGGTGAAAGAGTTAAAGCAATTAAAAATGGCAACACCAGTATTATGATGGATGTCCTTCCAGTGTATTAATCTCTGCTTCTGTTCCTCTGTTTCCTTGTTCTCTCACCAAGCATGTTTGGTTAAAACTGTTAATAGTTTTGACATAATTCGCTTCTAATGTGATCTGCACCACTGAGGGTTAAACACAGCAGGGATCCCCATGGTAAAGTAAGTCCGGGTCTCTTAACAGAATGCATTCATTAAAAAACTTACAACTTGTATGTATCATTGTCATGTCTTAGTTTTCTGTCTCTGTGTCTGTACCGAACATGAGCACAATTTGTTTAAACAAGTGTTTTAGAGCACAGCTATTGCTACGGCCGTATTTTGAAAAAAATCTGCACATTAAAATACTTATAAATGATCATTTGTAATGTGTCCCACCCAGACCAATTCCATTGTATGTACTTAAAATGGATCGATGTCTTTGCTCATAGATTTCCATGTACATTGTCAGATAGAAATTGAAATCTTGCACACTACTTTCACGTACATGTTCAGAAATCAAATATTTGCTCACTTTCTGATAAATCAGCTGTTTTCTTGGTGAACTGCTGCCTGTGAGCGTGCTTGGCATTAATTGGATTTGCTTAAAAAAAAAAACTACCGGAAAAAAAATAATGAGAGAAAACAGCTTTTTGTACTTTAGGCACTAATGAGGGAGCCAGAGCTTCATATTTAATTGGGTTTGCACTTTTTGTTCCTTCACTGGGATAAAGTCATTTGTTATGTTCACCTTCTCAGCTTATACACCAATGTTTCAAAGTATTGTAGAAAGTATTCTAATACTTAGTTGCCATGCAACATCATTTGGACCCCAGTTTTTTAGCCCAGCAGGATTACGGTCGCTGTTCCTGTCCAGGACAATGATTTCTGATAACAGATGGCCTTAAAAACCATTTGCTCAAAACAGGTAACAGGCCTTTTTTATTTGTTTGGTTTCCAATTTTCTGAACATCAAAATACTTCTAAGAGGACCTCTCTTAGGTAAAAATGGTCTGTAGTCATTTCCTTGCAAGCTCCAACATTTCATCTGCGAGAAAGCAGGGAAAACGTTATTACAGTTCCTGTCAAACTGGGTTGAAGGTCACTGTATAAAAGAAGTGGTATTCTAACGTTGTGTGTGTTTGAGTTCACAGTTTCCCATGAAAAGACTTCCTAATTGAGAAGTTACTCATCAAATTTGCTCAAACAAAGTTTCCGTCACTAGTCACTGTTTCTGTTTCTCATCGTAAAAACAAAATCAAAGGAAAGACTAAATCCCGAGTGTTTTGCCTTTTTATTACATTATATTGTTTCTGAACTCTGAATGTCTGAAATTCATCAGTATCGAATCCATATATTTGAAACTGAATCAAAACCTCTACTTTAATAATACTGTGAATACCCATACAATATTTCTGAAACAAAACTGCTAGAGAGAATGCAATATTAGCACAATAAAAATAACAACAAGTGTTTATAAGGGCAGGACGGTGTTGGGGCTCTGGGTTCAATTCCTGGACGGCCATCTGTGTGGCGTTTGTATGTTCTCACCGAGCTGAGTATGAGTTTCCTTCGAATGCTCCGATTATCTCCCACAGGCCAAAAACATACTGGCAAGGTAGTTGGCTTTTGGGATAATCGGTCCTGGTGTGAGGGTGTCTGTGTCTGCGTGCCACCCTGCCCTGCGCCTGTTGCTGGCCAGGACAGACTCCTGCGACCCTGAATTTGAATCAGGTGGTTAGAAATGGACGAATGGATTAATATAAGAGTCACTAGGCCTGTCCTTTTAATTCTCTGTGAAAACCATCCGCACATGTGACCCTTCTCCTTCATAGAAAATGCCTTTAAACCGTGTGGACGTCTCTGTCTGTGATATATGTACATTCCAAGATTCAGCTGTCCAGCAAGCCCTCCCACACCTGCGATTATCTGTCGCCAAGACAACAGGGGAAATATGTGGAGTATTTGACAGTAGGGTGGTGGGAACACAATGTAGGTGTTAGGAGCTGGAATGCAAGCTGCCGGCAGAAAGTAACTTGAGGAACTTTGAGTACAAACAAGTGCTTATTTGTACTTCAGTGCAATTGGTATTTTTAAGCATGCCATACGTTGCCAATATCTATCCATCCTTATTAATTGAAATTTTCAAAAGTTAAACCTAAAGTTCATTTTTTTATAAAGCGCAAATTACAGATCCTAAAATCTCCATTAAAGCTTCAAATGTAATATGACCACACACAGCAGTTTTGTCACTTCACCCGTTTTCATTGATACAACTCATTTTTTGGTTTTCCATGACGATTTCACTCAACCCGTAGTAATAGTTTTAGCAGAGGAGGATACAGTCCTTGGTTGTGTCAGGCAGATGTCACAAGGCAGTTTGTAATTGTAACCTGGCTCATGCGGTTTAGTACTCTTGCACTGGCCTGGCATGAAGGAAGTGTCTAACTGGGAGGAGAAATGCCGGAGGTTAATGCCTCGGCTGTTCCTCTGCAGCACTCAGATGTCAATTTCATAGCTTTCTCGCAACGGTTGTTCTGTTTCTTTCTGATCACTACATAAGATTGTGTCACGCAATTTTTTTCACAGGATTTACCAAATGTCGCTTTACAATTGGTTCGGTCGCAACTTGAAGATGCATAAACCACATTATTCCCATCCTGTACAGAATGGAAAACCCATAAAAACATAAATACATATGGTAATTATTTCTGTCCTAATATTACACTCCTATTCCACAGGAGATGCAAGCACCGTGTTAATTAAAGTACCAATGAATGTGTGAGCTAACATTTCTGTCGCTCAGACATAGCTGAGGAAACAAAGTATGAAGTCTTACTGGATCTCCTGGAAGTGCGTATAATGTATATTATCTTAAATGTATAGACTGCATTGCACTTCAACTGTAAAAAGTTAAAGCACTAAAAATACTTTTACAGCTCCCTGGTGTACCCTACTGGAATTTGAAAAAGAAAAAGGAATGTGCGCTTTAACTTTTTCTCCAATTTCCATAAAATGCCCGAAGCTGGAGGAAAACTGGGGGAAAGCTCTCCTCACAGATATTGCGAGCAGCTGTGCAGTTTCGTGATGCAGAAATGAAAGACTGAAGAAATTTGGCATGGCCCATAATTTACAAGCCACCCCCTGTTGCCTGGATTCAGAATCTGTAATTCACAGTCCTATGTTTGTGTGTGCTCTCTTTTTATAGTGGTCTCTGTGTTGCCCGTGAGTTGCTCAGTTTCCTTGGCAACATGAAGTGGTTGTAACAACAGAGACAGTACACATCATCGTGTTGATTAATCTTTCCAGCAGCGCCGAAGTAAGAGTGAAGATAGGAGGAGAAACGCATTGCTTAACACACTGGCATTTCCCTGAAAAATTTAAGTACCCCCGCCAGAGAATTCTCTTTCCCTCATCACCCTCAGCACATGGGTGGAGACAGCTTGCCACTCACCCACTCTGTAAACTCTCTCCAAAGATAACCTCGGCAATTTTTGAAGAGTAACTTAGCTAAGTTTAAAAAAATTGAACATATTTACTTGATTTTTTTTTTAGAAAAAGGAAGATTGGCTTAAGTTGCCGCTGACAAGAAAGGGTTCTGCACTCCTGTGCGAACAGGTGAAAGAGGTCTGTTATTTGCTTTTAATACAATAAAAAAAGCCATTCTCTACCTAACTTACGTATCCATCTAAATACGTTATATTTAGAATTAAGAAACGTTCAACCTTAGGCCAGTCAGGCCGGCTTGCCTGTTGGTTACTAGCAGACTAAGGTACAAAGAATTCTATTTATCCCGTTCTTACAGGATCCCATGGAGTCCACCTCAAACATACCTGGTAGACGGGTCCAGGCTCCCAGTGTCACAGTGTCTCCCAAGTGCAGACTTGAACGGTCCGTAATGGAATGTGTGTGTGTGTCCTGGGGTCCTGAGCTAGACGAGCACGGAGAAGAGGAGAAAACATCACACACCTTGGCACCCTGAATGTGCAAATCGTTAAATCCTTAAGAAGTCCATTTAATTAATGAAAAATATCAATGCACTGATGAATTTACTCTTGTGCCTCCACCTGTTTTAAACATCTCATTAATTCACTTTCACGAATGAAAGATCCATGAGCAAATTGCATTCATGCAGACATTGCAAAGTACCGAATACCAAAGCTTTGTGCTTCTACAGCTTCACCTTTTGTGCACATTCTTCTGAAATGAAGCAGTGTTGTTTTATGGAAACTGGGCGACGGGAGGTACAAATTAAATGCACGTTTTTTGTTCTCGAGAACCAATGTGCATTTTTCTATGTATCCGAAATGAACGTTCTGTGCAGTATATTCTTCTACGTTTGCGTCACTTTAGGGTGGCCCACGATGCACTATCGCTTCTACAAAAACCTCACTAATGTGACTCAATGCACCACCATACAAATACTGAAACTACAAGAAAATCTGATTTTATAATAGGATAAAGATGTAGCATTGCCAGGTCAGTCTGATCACCAGATCACGGAAAACGGAGACAAGCTGGGCCTGCTCAGTATTGGAGACACCTAAAACAGTCCAGTTGGATGCTGCTAGGTGTCTTGGTGAACCAACAGGTGGCACTTTCCCCTCTGGGCCTTGTAAAGGGAGCACTTCAGCAAAGTGACTGTGGCCAGTGACATCAAACTAAGGTTCTGACCTCTTATGGTCATCAAAGATATAATAGGATATCTGTCAAAACATTCAGGGGCGCTTTACTGAAATCCACCCTGCTGTTGGACAATCTTGCCTCTCTCACATGTGCACTTAATTTGATTAGTGAAGCATTTCTCTCATCTCATCTGTACTGGCACCAGGTGGGTACTTGGTGTGAGTGAATGAGGCACAATTCTAAGAGCTTAAGTGCTTTGGGACAAAAAACACTTTAGGCATTTTAGGAGAGTATTCACTACATATCACGTTGTCTGTGCATGAATGCATGTTAATACAGGAAGCCCTCCAGTGCTGCTCTGTTGAGGACATATACCTTTTTAGCTCTATCATAGCACATTTTTGCTCACCCCAACTTTAATCCTTTCAAATCCAAGATTAGTATCAACAGGACTTTTGTCTGCAACCTTTACCATTCCTCACTGCACAGGTGACCAGAACCCCTACAACAATGTAAAGCTTCATGTAAGTTACTTTAGGACAGGTATTTTAATTTGTCACATTCTCATGTCTCTAATAAAATAAGCAAGTCCTGCAATTAAACTTTGCAGCTCAGCCTGCCACACTTATAACGTAACAAAACCACAGCTCCTGAAATTCTAGAACAAAAGACAATCCCAAAACTCTAGGATGTTGATACCCTCTAGTGGGTAACAAACTAAACTACAACTGGTCACTAATGCAAATTACCCCACTTGACAATCCTGACGTCTTGATCAGTTTGCACTTGATGTACTGACATTTCTAAATGCACTAGCTTCACAAAATAGTATTAGCCTGTTGGATCACAGGGATGCCTCAAGGAATGTAAATCTACACTATCAGGAACTTTAAAGATTTATTTAAAACTAGCTGGATGCTAAAACTAGTTTTCAATGTTTGCTTGGTGAACTGCATAAAAGATTTGGTTACAAATCTGAAATGTAGCAGTGATCTTAAAGGAAGGTGGTTTTGGGGAAGAAAAAAAATCAAACTTGTAAATGTTTGTCTGCACAGATTAAAAGTTCACCTAAATATGTACCAAATAGTTTCAATTGTATGGGTCACACCTAAACTAAAACCATTATCAATTAACCTTCTGCTTTAATACTTTAAACCTTTCAGAAAAAAAACAAGCTATTTTTAAAGTCTAATGGTTCTCATACTTGTGATGAAAACAGAATTCTAGTACATTACAGTAAAGCAGTGAAAATGTGCTCATTTCCATATAGAAGCACAAAGTATAATTTAATAAAACCCCCACACTTACAGTTTTTCACATACCGGACTTCCTTCATCTGTGTCATATGTGCAAGCAGGACGCACGCTTTAAAAGTGTAGCATGAGGGAGTCCAAATCTAAAAATGGTCTTGCATAAATACTTTCCAACTTCCAACTCAGAAGACTAAACATTGAAATATTCATCATTTTATTTTGTAAAAATCAGACATTACCACGTGCAGACTAAAAACCAGTGTAACAAATTCAACATGGTTCTAACAAAAAGTCTTAAATAAAGTGTCTGCAGCCAGCTGTAAAAAAATAAGGTCTATTTCTAGAGAAACCCCCTTTTCTTGCATCTGTACACACTTTTGCATACATACAACAAATTTTATACTGTCCAGGTTTACAACTTCAGCTGTGCAAATCATGACAATTCCTGAATTCAGCTTTTAAAGGTTGCTTTTATAAATCAAAGCATTTTTCTTTATACAGCAATTCTCTTTACACTGTAAATGAGTACTTTCATGTCCATAACTTACATTAAACCATTAAAGAAAAAAAGGCAGGCAGCGCTCAACGCCTGTGCCTGCTGTGTCCAGAATGGCCGCCGCCGTGATGCTTGCTTTTGTGGGTACGGTCGTACGAGCGAGACCGTTCCCGACGGTCTCGGTGGTGACCTCTCTCGTGCTTGTGCTTCTTGGCAGCATCGGCGCGGTCTCTCGATTTACTGTGCGAGCGCGAGCGGCTCCGAGACTTCTTCCTCTTGTGGCCGTGCCTGCTGGGGATCTTGAGGTCATCGTTGCGGTGTTTGGTCTTCAGGTGAGGGGAGCCGTGGTTCTGGTGGCGGCGGGGCGTCAGACTCCGGCTGTGAGATCTGCTCCGAGATCGCGAGCTGTATGTCCCAGACCGACTTCGTCTATTGTTGTAACTTGTGGGGGGGGAAAAAATGGAATAAGCAACCACTTAAGTGACAATGAAACTCACAAAACCAATCCTACTGTTACTGCCAGCAGCCATTTCCTATCAAAACCTCTCAACAAAGTCAACGGAAGTAGAAAGTGCATTATCAAACTAATCTGACATCCTTAGAGATTGTTTCATCTACTCAAGGAATCACAGATCATGGGAGGCCACACTAAACCATAGCAAAGCCTTCGAACTTACTGTCTCCGAGGTGACCGAGAGCGAGACCTTGATCTTGTTCTTGACCGCGATCTGCTTACACTTCGACTGTTGCGGCTTCTCTTACTTTCCTTCCGAAGACTAAAGGAAAAAAAAAGTAAATTCATTCAATTGTATTTATTATTAAAATGATATAAAGTTCACCACAAAATTAAAGCCAATCATAAGGGCAGAATGCATTATCAAGCATTTAGGAGACAAGCAATTCTGTGGAAAATTCCACATCCACCAGTACTTTCTAGAAAATGTTTTATATACTGTACACCAGCACTTGATAATTTAAAAAGCCAATCTTAATTGGCAACTTTAACCTTTAGCTCAGTAAAAAATGATTTTGTCCTCACCCGTTGTGAGGGCTCTTCGAGCTCTGCTGTCTGTCTTCTGGTTCCTTTTTGACAGCTTTTAAAGTCTGAGTATTAGGAGATTTTTCATCCAGCTTTGGTTCTCTTGGAGAAGCTATAAAAAGTAAAACAAAAACATTTAAGTTTGCACACAATGTCTCAGAATGAATACAAAACCTTTTAAACCAAGTAAACTGGATAAACTACTTCAGGCTGCCAAGCATAAACACCTTTGGTGACTTACATGGTTTTGAACCAGGGGAAAAACCACCCAAGGTTGAAAGAGCTGGTGTCCCATCAGGGTTGAGGCCTTTAGCTTTCAGCTTAGCTTCCTGTAGAGCCACTTTGCGCTTTTCCACCTCCTTTTCAAGTAAATCATAATTAGGCTGAAAGGAAACCAAAAACAACAAATTAATAATTCCCGTAACATTAACCCCCCTCACCCTACCACCAAATGATACTTCTGAATTGTTCACCTTCTTTCTTGTGTAAAGTTTCAAAGTTGTAATGCAGATCTCCTTTATCTCGTCTTCAGTAGCACCAAACAAAAGATACCAGTGAGGCTTGCAGGGAAGTGGAATCTGCAGATTTTAAGCAAAGAACAAATTGAACAGACTGCTTAATAACAAAGGAAAATAAAACAGACTAGGTGAACCTAGCAACGCACTCACCTGAAGAGCTCTTGCAGCAAGGTAGATACAGGCACAAGCAATTGTTTCTGCTTGAAATCTCACAAACACATTGGTTCGCAGAGAGTCATTCATATAATTCCTAGAATACAAACAGAACAATGTTCCAACATCTCCCACCTGTTTTAAGGGAACTAGGAAACTACTACAAAAGTAATTGGAGACTCAATTTAACTTGTCCTCTATTTCTCTCAAGCCTGTCCAAGGACATAAAACATCCATTCTTATAGGAATCATGAAAGCAAACAGTTTAATCAATATTTCACTGCAACAATGTTTTCATTTAAATAAAGAACTGACAATAAGATACTGGTAGTTTTGGTGAAGGATTAACTGGATAATCCAGTTAATGAATGATGTTCTTTGTAAAGTCTAGAGAAAATCAGTCGGTCAGAATAGAGAAACTATTAGTCAAAGCACTGAACACATCAATGCTCTTGGTTAGAGGATATGCTCTAACAAGTTATAGGGCAAATGTTTTCTTGCTTTATGATTTCAGAAAAAAATGTAACGGACTAAAAAGACCCTATATTTAAATTGTACCAAAATGAACACAAAAGGGAAAAGATTTTACCCACCTTCATGTTAAAGTCTAACCTGTAAACTGCTCTTAAAAAAATCTAGAAGCTACATAATTTTCAATGTCTGGCAACATGGCTAGGCTTGAGCTGAAAAGCTTCAGCATCTAAATTTAAAAAGTGCTCCATTAAAAGAGATGAAATTTTACAGATCATGCTCTCTGCTTGAAGACAAAACCCGAAGAGTTGAGTATGAAAACACTTCTTAAAACCAAGTTCATCTGTAATATACAGACCATTAAAAATGAAAAGATTTCTACCTCCTTGATGTTAAAAATGCGCACTTATAAATTCTACATTGCTACTCAAAAAATAACAATTACATCTGGAAGCAAAAATACAAATCCTTTGACACCCATGAAAACAAGATGATGTTGCCAGATGGGTAAGGACCACTTCAGTGAATCTCGGCTGAGACCTTGCACTGGATTGGCGGGAGAGAAGGGCAGCCAATTGGGAGATTCCTGAGGTCATGTGGTTGAAGGAGCAGAGTTCAGAGGGCAGTATGAGACTTACCATCATGGACTACCCTTTAATCAAAGAGTAGAAAGAAAGGACAAAGTTAAATTGAGTTCTCCATTACATTTAAAGAAAAAAACAGCCATGATTTCACAAAGACATGTTGAATAAGCAATTCCATGAGATGCAGAACTGCAATGTTGCCTAAGTTAATGCAAGAAGAAATACATTTTAAAGACAAGAACACATATAATGAGTAAGCTTAATTTACTTACCAGGCTGTTTGGACCAGAGTTTGATTTTTCTCACATTCAAGAACTTGAAGGTACATCACAATTATCTGAAATTAAGCACACAGTGCACATTATAGATTTGAAAAAGTTAAGTCAACCATGCGCTGCTCAAAAGTTGGATTTAACCACTAAGCAACTGGAGCAAGAGCAATCTCTGCTGGAATGTACAGAACCCCTTTTCTGATGCCTCTTGAACCCACAACCTAAAAGTCAAGCTGCTCTGAACTTGTAACATCCTATGAAGTTCGCAATTTGAACTCACCTTGTGCGGATGCTTGACATGAACGCAGAACCCCAGCTCCTTCAGCACTCTCCTCTCTGCTTTGATTACTTGGTTTTTGGTGTTAATGTAGTTCTGATCAAGAATCAATGGTGTTGGTGTCCTAATTTATAAAACAAAATAAAAATGCATTTTGCAGGCAAACAAAAAAAAGTTTGTTCTAGTTCTATTTTCCCTTCCAACCAACTAAAGGCAACAGAACCTAATTTAAACTCCTGTAACTGCAATATAAGCTTTGGTGTTATGCTGCCCATGTAATACTTAGTGTTAAATCCGGTATTTCCACACATGCATCTATGAAAGTAAACAAATGCTTACTTGCACAGCATCACAGCTTTGACAGGAATCAATTCCAGTACAGCTACATTCAACAATTTAAATCTTAAATCATCCTTTATAGCCTGGAAAAGCAACTTCTGAGATAATCCATTTTTCCCCAAATGTACAAGTCAGCCTCCGGGTAACAGAGGTAAGAACTAGAAAACCACACTCAAGCCTATAAACGTTTTCAAAAACTCCAATCCTACAGAATCCTATATATATAAAATTCAACTACCATCTTCTACAATCAAATATTAACTACCAGTCAACAGAGAAGAAAGCTGTTAAAACTATGAGAATACCCAACTCACAAATGCAAGATGTGCTAAATCTAGTTAAAACTAACATCCTCTACTCCATAACACTTCTAAGAGAAGCCCTACTGGACAGAACAGGTCTTATTTGAGCTCAGCAAAAATTGTATATGTGAACTGACATACAATGTGTTTGATCAATACAGGAGCCAAACTTCAATGACAGGACTGTATTTGTGCAAACAGGACAAAAAAACCTACTTTGCAGTCCACTGAAATCCTACATAAAGTTCGCACAGAACTCCACCCAAGGAGATTTGAAAATCCACCTGCCATCTACACATTTATCATCAATGATGCACAGCTGCAGTCACAAAAAAAAACACAGGGCAAAAAATGATTTGCTTTATCATTTTCCAATGCAAGATGTTCAGATATGCGGCTGCTTTAAGCTTCAATATCTATATTGCTCCCTATCACTTCAAGGAAAATACAAAGGATTAAAGAATGAGTTAAAGAGGTCATGTTTTAACCTTGTGTAACCGTTTGCAATTGCGATAGCCACAAAAGTACTACAAATAAAACATACTTGTCTTTTTCGGATATTTCTCTACACTACACGTAATGGCACGTTTCACTTTCTACAATCCGAAGAACCATTTCAAAGTCTTCAATTAAGCAAGCAATTCCAAGGTGGAAATGGACACTAGGGTGTACTCGGTTTTAACAAGAAAAGGTTAATATTAAAAGTACATTAACTTCAACCCTTAATTTCAAACCAAATCGGCTCAAGTATGGGATTGTCAGGTTCTCGTCAGGAAAACCCATCAATTAGGTACTTAAAACACAAGACAACTTATGTAATAAATCCTCTCTTCAGTTTAAAAAGGGTATTCTGGAAAACTGAATGGAAAATTAGCAATTAATGCAGCAAAAGTGAAAAATATTTGATTTTATGAATATTGTACATTATAATGGTGCTCTTATACCAGTTGAATTATTCACAAACGCAGGCAGGACATTAAGTCTACACTAGTTTCAAAATCTAAAACCTTGTGGCAGAATCCCAATGTCAATTTTCAACATGTATGGGGGATACTTCATCAAGAGGTCTTAAAAAAAATAAACAAGACGTACATGCGAAATGTATTTCTGTGAAAGCCATGGCATGTGTTGCAAATGTACCACCTGGACAGCAAAGACTAAAGCTTAGACTGAGATACAGGAGTTTTCCAGACGCTTTCACCAGCGGCCAACCTGACAGTCCCCGATTCCAGTGACCCGTTCTCAGACCACTGGCTTCTTCATGGGGAATTCACTGTTGCCATGCCGACAGCTTCATCTCTACGTACCACTCCACATCACCCAGGCTTTGGTAAATGTAGCTGGTCGCTGTTAGTTGGTTGCAAGGGAAAAAAGAACTGAAGTTAATACCATGGCCTAACTTTACCCTGAACAAGTTAACACAAAAATAAGGTAAGGACGAAACATGTACTAACTAAATTCGCTCACTAATTCTCACTTACTAGAATAACATATTCAATTCTTAAGATGGTAACCCAAATTTCAGTCACTATTAGACAGTGAAACACACCACACTAGGTAAGCATTTAGCATATACAAAAATAAAAACTTAAGATGGCTTACAAAAAAATCTAGAGAGCAAAAAAAGATTACTTGCCAATTAATTTCAAAGTTTATAGAGAGGGAAAAGCACATTACAGAGTATTTGGAGTCTACTTACAAAACAGTAGTGCATAAGTTCAAGATGTTTCAGATTTTAATAAGTCTATTTAAGAGATAGTTTAACTTACATCAAAAATGAGAGCAATTAAAACTGTAAAAAAAAAACCTGATATGGGGGAGAGAAAACTGACAATTGAGGAACAAGGTTACACAATTGAGGGACTTTAGAATAATGCTTACCTTTTTCCTCTCAGCTGCCGTAAGTGATGAAACACATTTATCACATCCCTTATACGCCTTGGTGCTTCTTCAATCTTTGAGGCGAGATTTACGCAAGCCATGGCAACAATCTGAAAACAAGTCATTTTAATTAGGCAACATGGGTCCTCAGCAGAAACACAGCAATTTACAGAAATCATCGGGACACTTTAGGGGGGGCTGTCATTTAACGCGGATCTTCACGCATGCCCTTGCAATCCTTTCGGACCCCATCTTATCTGGACTTGGTACATATTCCAGATCCTATGTGCACAACGCTGAGACAAAGGGCTGTAAGACACGCTGGGCCTATTCACCGGATGTAGGCCCCCACACCTACTGCTAACGGCTGCTCGGAAGAATGTGGTGACGTCATTTGAATTATCCGGCAATTTTAGTTTCGCTTCCTCGCCCTATTAACTCGCAAATCACGCGATCAAATGCATCGATATATCACGTGTACCGTACAAATAAATTAGACCTCGTACGTCCATACACCGAAGTCACCTTAAAAACTAACCATCGAGCAGGGCGACAGTCCGGCCTTTGTTCTTGCGCATCTCTTACGAAGTAAAAAAAAAAACAACAACCACCGCTTTTTAGTTACACTCTACCACCTCGGCTTTAAAACGCGGATCTTTTTCGTGGACTTCTATTTCGAAGTCCACGGCTGCCGCCTTTTTTAATCGCCGTCTTGCGTGCTTTCCCGAGCGAGGCCAGCCTCACTGGAAACGTGTTACACAACATGGCGCTCCGCCGAAAGTGCGCACCGCTAGTTCAGGCACGGGAGGACAAAAGAACTCACCTCAAAGCTGTGTTTCACGTAGGACTTCGAGTAGAAAAACCGGTGAAAAAGCACCTGCCCCGTAGCCATGGCCACCTACAGAACGAGGAGGGAAAAGAATGTCACAAACGACATCACAACGGCCCGTCTTGCACAACATGGCGCCCGCCATTTTGTCATTTATAGCCTCTTCGCCAACAGGAAAAGACAACACTACCGCATTCCCGCGGATCGCGATTCACCGGGGAAATATTCTAGAAAAGCATAGTAACTACTATCGCAATCATAATATGTGTTCTGCGGTGTTTATCGGGCACTGATGCCTGTTTTGGGGGGTATTACACACTTAATGGACAATGGAAACTACGGGACAGGTGGCTTTAAAAAACCCTGAAATGAACCAAACTAAATTATTTTCTTAAATAATAAGAAAAAGAACAGCCAGAAAACGAACGCTGCCGCGCCGTGGGTCGGTTTCTCACATACCTGTGGCAGCCGGAGCAAAATGCCGGCCGACTGGATCAGCTCGCAGCCCAGGATACGGAGGTCGGTCTCGGCGTGGAGGTCGAGGCCATCCAGCATCGACGGCGTTGGGGAGAGCCTCTCCTCCGGGATGAGGGAGTTGTCGATGGTGAGATAGACCTCGGAGTAGAGCTTGTCGCCGATAAGTATCCCTTCATTGGCGGCAGGGATGGTGGGGACAGCAGAGACAGAACCGCCGGCCATCTTAGCATCAGTCGAAAGTACTCAACTCGGCACCCGCACCGCGAGTAGGAAAGGGACAGCGGTGACGTAGGCAGGCCGAAGAACACCGACACCAGGCGCGGTGAACTGTATCCGCCCGCAAATAAATACAACCTGGGGAGGAAGTAGTCCCTGTACTCCTGTTGTAGATTTTCCAAAGTTAAATCGTGGAATGAAAACAGGACTGTTTCGTTTTTCAGTTCAACACAGATGGCTTTACACACACTTTTTCTGGAATTATATAATTTGTACACCTTTTAATTATTATAATGAAAACAAAACTGACAATAAAGGGGCACAAGCAAGTTTTCGCTGTTCTTTGGCTGTTGGTGTTTCTTCGTTTCAGTTTTGAGGTGTTTTTTGTATCGTGTGGGGTTTTATCTGATTCTTATTGTTTTCAAAATGTTTAAATAAAAAAAAAAACCATAATATAACTTGATCATACAGCTACAAGTGTATGATATTTAGCGACGGCGTACAGGAGTAACTTTTAACTTCTATCAAACTGAAAAATGATATGAAGAGAGGACGTTTTTGAAACCCAAGATACGATAAAAGCCTCTTGTTATGTTTAAATGTGTAATATTAAGAATATCGATTCTGTGATGTTTTTGTTTTGTTTCTATGTGAGCCAGCGTGTGTGCTGTACTCTAATGACTGAAAACACGACACAATACAGTAGGACCAGAAGACATGCTGTCCTCACAGGAATATCTCACCCCGTTATAGGGGCGATCAATTGCGCTGATTGTTGTTTTCTGACTTTTTTAAATAAAGCTGTCAATGATTTACAAGCACATTCTGTGTTACATGCGAGTGCAATTTCAATTCATACAGTCGTTTTTGTCTGCGCGATTTTACATGACAAGCGTCTCCCCTTCCCCGTCTTCCAAGCCAACACTTTTAGCGACATGTGCATTTCAATAATCCACTGTTTCGGGATCCTGTGGTCACTGCTGTCGGCCAGCGAGGAGTAGCACGCAAAACGCCTTTTGAAACCCTTCACCCACCCAGTCGTGACTGGGGAAGTCCCCGCGACCTCGCACATATCACTCCGCCGCCGCTCCGGCCGTGTGACGTCAACCGCTCTTTTCCTGCGAAATGGACCCTGGGAAACGTCTGTGCGACGTAAGCCGAGCGGCGTTATGGCGGCCGCGGTGCCCAGACGCCCACTTCGCCAGCCGCTGTCGTCACTTACCGGCTTTTGTGCTCGGTTTCCGGCTTCTCTTTCCTAAGACCCGTACGAAGCAAGTCAACGTTAGGGGGCGATAGGCAAGGAAGCGAGTTTGAAGTTTGTTGCGGAGTTCGGCCAGTGTAGTTTTTAAAACAAGACGGAAAACGGCGAAAGACTGGCGGAGGTGTGCGGTTGAGCTGAGAGGGACAGCACGTACCAAATATATTTGGTTCCTCAAAGTCAAGTAAAAGTTGTGTTTTGAAAAGGACAGGTATACAGGCGAGTGGCAAAAGGTGAAACGTATGTTGGGTGGTTGATTAAACAACTCCTTTGCAGTCATTTCTTTGTTCCAGTTAACTTTTATCTACGAGTGTCACACATTGCATGTGTAGTGAAGGTGGACTTCTCGTCTTTTAACCAGAAGAAAAAAAAAATTTTAGAAGTAAAATTTGGTTGCTAGTAGCTAATGGGATGATCTCATCCAGCCATTTCTTGAAAGAAACCGGATTTTCGGCTTCAACAACATGGTTGACTCCCACAGTCCTTTGTGTAAAAAGTGCCTCCAGTTCTTTGTTAAAAATGCACCTCCCTAGTTTCCATCTGTATCATGTGGTTCATGTTTCTCTATTGATTCTGAGTCGATTTGGTTGTCTTTGTTAGTGCATTTGAGCATTTTCAATAAATTAGTAAGGATCCCTCAGTCTTCCAGGCTTCAGACTAAAATTATTGCTAATTTCTGGAGTGATTCTAGAGCTACAACATAATTTGCATAACACGGTGAGCTAAATTGTATATAATATTCTAAAGTAGGTAATACTAGTTCATTGTTCAATTTTAACAAAACATTCCATGATTTTAATTCTTCTCTTTTAACCGTGTAAGTATTCAGTTTGTCTTCATTATCACTTCCACATAGCCTAGAGGGTGAAAATAGTCTAAAAACACCTGTCGTTTGTCATAAGCAGATGTTTCACATTTCACGCCAAGCGCAATGTTTTCCATTTTTATATTTGTAATTAACAGTTTTGCCACTTGCAACACTACGAAAAATAAAAAAACTGACTCCTAGACCTTGTAAGATCTTATGGTTTCATTTTTTTTGCTTGCCAGGTTACATCTTGCTTGAACTGCTATCATTATTTCAAATGCTGCACTGCAAATGTACAAACCTACATGTTAAGGGTCCCTGTGATTTTTTTTTTGTCTTCGGATCCCACTCCTAAACATGAATGCAGCAAATTAGTCATTTATAAGTGCACTTTTCAAGCACACTGCTGAAGTGGGTTTCCTAAAAATGAAGCTTTAGACTAGACATAAAATCAAAATTTGGTTAAACGCCTGTGGTTCAGAGAATACAAAACCAACACTTTGACAATGACCAAGCTGGGGGCTACATTTCATTAGGAGATCGATCTGAGGACCATTTGGGTGAGTTTCCTGTTCTACCCAATACTCAAAAAGTCATAGTGAGGGGGTACGAACAGGTAAAACTCGTTCAACCTGAAAATCAGCCCAGTTGTTTAATTGAGATCCTAACAATGTGGGCAAACACAAGCGAGTGGAAAAACAAGAAGACTTTTTCAGACTGAGTACTCACTACCCTGTGGTTAAGTATTTATTTTAACAATAAAACCTGGTCTTAACCCAAGGAGTTATTCTCTCTGATTATATCATGTCAATTTCACTAGAGTTGGGAGTTACAGTAGAACTGATTTTTTAAAATTAAATACAATTAGGAAGGCAGCAAAGGAACAAGTAAAGGTTTATTCCATGCTGAAAAGAGAAGAAAAGAAACGTTTCGGCTGTGGAGCCTTCTTCGGTGGGAGGAGGTGTTGAATGTAATATTACGTCGGAAACAGAAATTCCTCTTTTATTAATTATTTTCCGGTTTTCATTTTTCTGTAGACTGTGTTACTCAAAAACACAATTCACGGAAGTGTATAGAATATGAAATAAGAAAACATTAACATGGACGCCAGTTGTTTTCACGTTTTCTTTGTTAACTCATAAAACGCTTTTAATCATCTCTCTGTTTTGGGGGGATTTGTGACCCCACAATTGTGCTGGTGAACGTCCATATAGCCACAGTCCGTGTACAGAGCTCTGATTTCCCATTCACAACATTAGAAAGAATAATCTTAGCATCCCACTAGCAGCGTTGCACAAAAAGCACATGGACGTGTTGCAGAATTCATCAGTTCGATATTCCGTCATCTAGTTTTCTCTGTAAAAGCCCGTGCGCTACTGCAAACTGAATAGCACGTGTTTAACCTTCGGCTTTGGATGAGGCTTGCTGTATCCCTGAATGACCTGCAGAGCGCCGGACTGCTTGTTCTCCAGAGCGAGGTCTAGAGCCGTCTCCTTCCAGTGCGTCTCCAGCGAGGCGTCGGCCCCCTTGTCCAGCAGGAGCTTCAGCATTTTGCTGTGGCCCCTTTCCGAGGCGAGGTGCAGGGCGGTCTTGCCCAGCCGCTCCTTGGCGTTCACGTCGGCGCCGTAGTGCAGCAGCAGCTTGGCCGCCTCCGCGTTGCCTCTCAGGGCGGAGTGGTGCAGGGGCGTCATGTGCAGCAGGTCTCTGGCGTCGAGCGCGCCCCCATGCAGGATCAGCAGATGCACGGCCACGCAGGAGCCCACGCCCGCCGCGAGGTGCAAGGGGGTGACGAGTTCCTTGTCGGCTTCGTCGGCTGCGGCTCCTCCTGTCAGCAGCTGCTGTATGATCTGGGGGGGGTGGAGATGAAAAGGCATGAACTGGGTGAGCCGCGCCGCGCTGTTCGCCATCTGTGCCCCTCTGCTTCAGACACAGCAAAAACAAAAACAGCTCTGCAAGGGGAATGGAGGCAACCTGTCGACAGTCATTTCTGGGTAAAAAAATCAGAGTTTCTCATTTAGTGTATAGCAGAGCTGTGGTTTATGCAAACATTATGTCACTTACACATCTTGACACAGTGCTGACGGAATTTATCTTACAGTTACTCACACCTCTACCGCAGTATACAGAAAGAGCATCTGGAAATTCTCAATGACTCCAAAACAGCTCTTGGTATGGTAGTCAGAGCTATTGTCTCGTGACGCCTGGGGCCTGAGCACTGTTCTGGCCTGGGTCTCTCGCTGGACTGACTGCATTCTCTCCACATGCATTGGTTTCTGTGCCCAGGCACCTGCAGGCTAGTTTAACTGATGTCTTTAACTGACCTGTGTTAAGGGTTTATGTTTATTGCCATTATTCTCATACACAGGTACTGTATATGGTATAACGAAATGCTATTTACCTAGCTCTCAGACGGTAAGCGGTACAAAAAACAACAACAATACAATTGTATAAGAAAAGAAAGACAGAGACAACAGGCAATGTGTAGAACAACATCAGATGCGCAAAATCAGACTTCAGCAGAATGGAATAAAGGATAGAAAAGTATGGGGAGTGAGCTTCTTGACATGTGAGGTAGAGGTAGATTTCAATGTGTGTTGGAGTTTTGATAAAGAGAGAAGGCACTGTTAAGGGTTCAGATCGTGGGTGAGAGAGGCAGGGAGTTTGATAGTTTGATAGTGTGGGGGGGTTAAAACTGTCTCCAAGTCTGAGTGTGTGTGCCCTGTGATGGACTGGCGTCTGTCCTGGCTAGGATGAGGTCCCAGTTTGCACCCTATGTGTCTTTTAGAAGTGGTCTGTACTAGGATTGGTGTCTCTCTGGTACAGGATGGATGCTGCTCTTGAGCTTAGCATTCTGCAGCATTCAATAAATGTTCATTATTTGTTCTGGAGTTGTTGAAAGAGAGTGAGAGAGAGCAGTTTCCCTTCCTAAAACCAAGTCTGTTTTTGCTGGTTGTCTACGTAATTGGAGCAACTTGCAGTCGACTGAAATGTACCGCGGCACTAGTTTTATAACCGAGGTCCTGAAGAAGAAAGACTGGAGATGAACATGCTTCCACGAAGGGTTAGGCAGAGGCCAGTCACCTTCTTGTTTCCAGCCGCGGCGCAGAGATGCAGGGCGGTTTGCCCGTTTTCGGTCTTGGCGTTGACGTCGGCCCCTCGGCTCAGCAGGTGCGCCACGCTGGGCTCGCTCTGCGCCAGCGCGGCCAGCTGCAGTGGGCTCATGCCGTTGCTGTCCCTGTCGTTGACCGCCGCGCCGCAGCCCAGCAGGAGGTCGGCCGTGGGGAGCTGGCCGTTGAACGCGGCCCAGTGCAGAGGAGTCCACCGGTTCACGTCCCTGCCGTCCGCCTGCGCGCCGTGCCTCAGCAGGGCCTGGGCGGCGCCCAGGTGCCCGTGGGCCGCGGCCAGGTGCAGGGGCGCCTTCCCCGAGCACGAGCGGATCTCCTGCGACGCCCCCAGCTGGAGCAGGTACTCCACCACCGCCGTCTGTCCGTTCCAGGCCGCCCGGTGCAGAGGAGTGCAGGCGAAGAGGTCGCGGCTGTTGATGTCCGCGCCCCGGTGAAGGAGGAACTTGACCAGGGCAAGGTGGCCGCAGAAAGCCGCGTAGTGAAGTGCCGTCCAGCCCTGGGGGTCCCTGCGTTTCGATGCAGATAAAGTGAAAACAGAGAAAGAGCTGGGCAGCTCATCCTTCATCCTCCTGGATTACAGCTGGAACGCTCATTAATCTTCTTCAAGCACACAAGCCTGATCTACACCAAAGGTTTGCAAAACTGTGGTCCACAGTATAATAATAATAATAATCTTTACTTTATATAGCACCTTTAAATGTGGCTTCTCAAAGCGCTTTACAGAAGGACAAGAAAGATTGGTTGTAAGACAAAGAGGCAGCGAAATACAAAAAATAATTTATTCGAATAACAACTTTCCTATCAGTTATAGAAAGGGATTGGCTACATTTAATGAAATCATAACTGTATTATTTACTGTTAACTTTCTTTGTAACCTTTTTGAATGATCTGACAGCGCTTCTTGTTCTTTTAAAGCAGTTCAGTCAGGGGTTCCCACTGAAAGAGATGGGGTCCACAGCCTGGGGTCTCAGACTGAAATTCTTTATATCTACACTGATTATAATGTGCTGGCATATATTTATTTTAAAAAATCATGGATCATAGATAATCTGGTAAAAAAAACACAACAACAAAGTAATTAAAACAACAATGTTATCCATATAATAACAAGCTAATGATTACAGACAACACTGATCGCCACCAGTAAAACCGGATTATCTTTATTGAGGAACAGAAACACCTCAATGTGTAGTGTTCAGTTTACATAACGCGTTAAGAGAGAGATGCACTGGCATTCTGTTATGTATTAGTACAACATTTTATATTTAAATCCTCGTTGCGTCAGTGTGTTTACACCTATTCCATACTTTAGTTCTGACTGAACAGATATAGCGTTTAACATCCACTGTAGGTGCTGTAGCAGACTGGACCGATTAGACATAAATGATGGAAAGGTGTAATTGTTCAATACTCACTGGCAATCAATTGAGATCCCTGCTTTGAGAAGGGCTTTAACCTGCTCCAAGCACCCAGTCCAGGCAGCCTGGTGCAGTTTGCTCTGGTCCATGGCAGGGTGATGGACTCCTGACTGAAAACGAGGCCATCTCTGGAGCTGCCATTCCTTCAGACTGGGAGTTCTTCTCCACCTCTTCTCTACTGCGTGCAAAGAAACCGAATCATGCAGCTCCATCCATTTCCAGAACACTTCAGGCCCGGCTGCCATGGCCAAGGTCTGAAAAACCGAATCATGGGCCTTTACTGATAGCGTCCAGGCTGAAAACAGGAAGAGATAGACAGAGAAGTGCAAGTGAAGGAGCCCCTTTTCTGATTCCGAGCAAAGGTGTGCTCAAGTCCAACTGCACAGGTTATTTTCTGGAATGAGGTAAGGAGCTAAAATGACCAGCAGGGGGAACTAGGCAGCAAAATGAGTCTCAATGTAAGGAGAACAGTTGTAACCCTTTCATGCACCAGAAATGCTTTTAACTCAATACTTCCTCAAGCTAGAACTATAACTGTCGCCATACGTAAAATGACATATACATGAAAAGCCAAAAAACGAATTGTGCAGGTTTCTTGTTGCCCTGGCTTGGAGTTCAAAGATAATACAAATTGGTTTAAGTTGCCTTTTTGCTCACTGCGCTGCTGTTAATAAGTCCTCTCTGAGTAATGTTCCATCACCTCCCAATATAAGCTGCTACCCAACAGTTGCGGTGCTGTGATGATGTGGGAAATAGCTGAATCTAGAGGACTTCTGCCTTATAATTTAGAAGCTGGTGACTCACAGCAGAGGTAGGTAACTATAGCAACAGCCTATTAGCAGTGGGTTCTGTTTGATTCTGATTTTCATGCTAAAAAAATCTTGATAGAGCTATCAATACCACGATTTTCAAAAGAGCCGTTAAACTCACACATACTGTAGGAAAAGAAAAAATATCTGTAGTTACTTTCAGCACTTGAGTAAAGAAAGCGATTGCTCCCAACGATATTAATAAGTTAATTTATACCTTCCTTAGAAACTGAGAAAAAAAATTAATCAATGAAGAGTTTCTATGTCACAAGTCTACAAGACACACATGACACCCCTTCTACTACATACAAATGTACAATGATACACAGACATCTGGAAAACATCTTACCACTAATGTTTCAATCCAGGTTCCTCTGAGAATTTGCTCCCACACAAATTCCTATGATCACCCTCCAGGTGAAGAAGGTAGGGGTTGCTCCAGAAATGTTTTTTTTTTAACTTTTTAAATAAATCCTGTTTATTGTAAAACAATTCTACCTTTCCTCCCACTTGCAACTGTAATACCGGCATTTTAAATTTGATTTCCAAATACCATTTATTATTTCAACACCAGCTTCTTAATGTGTGTTTAAGCTCTTTCTGTACCATTAAAAGCAATCGGACGTCCTTGCCTTGCTATGAAGATGGACTTAATTTACAGGAAAATTAACCATTTGTAACAAACATACGATGGAGCATATTTGTCCTAGGAAGATGGTTAACAGCAGTGTACTGTCTGTGAACCTCAGATTACAATTTAGAAGTTGCCTACCACATCTATCCCATCCAGCAGTGTTTTTCATTCATCCATTGTTTCTGATGGGGAACACCTTCTCGGAGCTATGCAGAACAAGAATGCAAAAAGTCTTGTAGGTCAGCATCTTCTGATATGAGCCCGATGATGTTTGCTTTTTTGCGTGAGGTTGCCATGGAGTGTCTTATTGTTCTTTCTACACTGTATAATAAAATTTGAAGGGGAGGGGAGGAAAATCTAATCTGTCAGGCTACAGTTGTGCGCATGCTTAATTCCTGTAGCTTGACCAGAGCACATTTGCCTCAGGGCACACTCAATTTACATTTTTGTAAATTTACATTTTTGTAAATATCTTGGCTTCTGCAAACCCAAGATATTTCCAAATCAGCATTTCTGAGAGATTTAAAAAAACTTGCTCTCTGCATAATTCCTGAATTGAGGCTTTTATACATATGTATGAGATGAATACTTCTATTTTAAGTAACAATCCCATCTAAATCTTTGTTTTACATGGGTAAAATGATAGTGCTGCAAAGAGATACAAAGACTCATTGTCTTTGAGCTTTACAACAAAAGATAGAGATAAAAATGATTTTATTTCTTTAAAAACAGAAGACAATTTTGTATCGGAAGACTCCATCTCAAGGAATCATATGTATTGTTTTTGTTTAAAAACTCTCACTCTATGTAGCTGCTAATCTGCTACATAACATGATTTTCTAATCTGAAAATAGATGTTACAACAATCCATGCAAAACATAGATGCAATCCATCCAAGTTCTTTTTTTGGGCGGGACGGTGGCAGTCGTCTTTATACTTTGTGCATGAAATTCTATCCTAGCAACTAACACACAGGCCGCTGTTGCCATGGTGACCGTAATAATACCCTCTCTTCATAGCTTTGTTGACACTGTAAGATACTTTGGAAGATATAGAAACGGAGATCACAGAAACGTTTAATATTGAAATGCAGGCACTTTTAATCATAGTCACTAATTGTTACGGAACAGAACTACACGTTTTCTACAACAAAGCAGTAACTCGGAGAGAACTTTTAAACCCTCCAAGGAAAATCAATTTTACGATGTAATGGGATTCTTAATCTTTAATTGTGGTTACTATAGCGTTAATCACGACAGTTGCCTAACGGTAACAAAATCTGAGAAACGTCAATGGACACGATATTCCAGAGTGCAGCTAGGACAGACTGTTCATGGCCACTAGAGGGAGCCTTAATCTTGTGCTGTATTTAACATGGGGATAAAAGGAGAAGTGGAAATCAGGAGGGATTTCTTTGCAAGTGTTTTGAGTGTCGAGAGAAAGATATTAGGCAAGCAGTCGAAATGAATTCCCTGGAACCCCTTAAAACACTGTATGGATGGATTAAGACAATAAACTACCAGCAGTGTAGTTAGTTAGGTAGACCAACTGGCTTCCCGTAGTTTTGTAACCTTCATTTGGTTCCTATGTTTATATTACTGTTAAATTGGAGACACATTTTACTGTGAATTAATTTAGAAAAAAAATGAAACTTTCATGTACTGTTCCTTTATGATGATTTCTTCTGCATTGTGGAGCATTTTTTTTCTGTCTCCGAAGGAAACTTGTGAAAGTCCTTGTGTTGAAAAAAAAAAGCAGTTGATTGGTTAGTAGGGTTTTCACATTTTGTCTGATTATTTAGAGAACATCCTGGCAGGGCCCAGAAATGTAACCGAACCTGCATCCCTGACACTCATCCATTCTCTCAACGGCACATCTTCTTGATAAGCAGCTCAAAGCCTATCCCGAAAGCATCAAGCAGGACTACAGACACCAGTCCAGTAGAGGGTGAACACGCACAGGGAGAATTCAGAGAACACGAATAGCACAGACAGCATGTCTCTGGAAAGTGTGAGGAAACCAGAGTGAGTTCCCAACGTTGCCCATGTTCACATGGGGACAACATGAATCCTCCGAGCAGTAGGTGCCCCAGGCTGGAACCAAACCCAAGACCCAAGAGCTTTGAGGTAACACATCACCATTCATCTCTTAAGCTGGTTCACAACTCAGAAGTGCAGGAATGGACCCTATGCGGGTTCCAAGGTCAGGGTCAAGAGGTCAGCGAAAGTCCAAAGCCAGAAGGCCATTTTAGTAACAAGAACCAGAAACACAATCCAAAAGCCAAGGTCAAGAAACAGGCCAAAATCCAAAAGTCAGGCAAGGAGTCCAGGAAGAATTCAGCAAAGGCTAGATCAAGGGCCCAAAGAGCTGACAACAATACTGAACACAGCTTGAACAAAGAGCAGGGTTTAAATAGGTTTGGGGAGGGGAGGCGTGGTGATGTAGAGGACACTGGGTAAGCATGTGTGAGCTCATTAGTTTGAGTTATGTCTGATGAGGTTGAGTAATGAGCCGCCTTAATTCAAAGCAGGGATGGGTTTCTGCTGTCTGCTTGATCTGCACGTCTGCTGCACAGATGAAGTAGGCACTAGAGGTTGAGGTGCCCTCTGGTGGTGGGATGCTGGGACTGTAACATCATCCTTAATCTATTGTGTTGGTGAGCCAGTGGGTAGGTAGTACTCTTCTCTCTGGATCTCAGGATTTCTAAGACAATAACCCAGTATAATGACCCAGGACACCAATGTGGGAGGCAGTGTCCTTTGGGTAGAGTGCAGGAGATGTTAAACTGAGGTTTGGACTTCTTGGTCATTAAAGATGGGACTGCGCTATTTTCAAGAGTAAAGGTCTTAACATATGGCCATCAGCCATATCACCCTGCAGCTCACAACTGGCATCCCACTGAAGCTCAGCAGGTGTAAGCCTGGTCAGTACCTGGATGTGAGACCTCCTGGGAAAACCTAAGGTTGCTGCTAAGGTCTGTGTGGGTCCTTATGCCCCAGTATAGAGATGGGGACACTATAGTATAAAAAAGGTGCTGTCCTTCAGATGAGATTTAATACCGAGGCCCTGACTCTGATCTCTGTCCCAGGGTGTTCCTCGAAGAGAGTAGGGGTGTCACCCTGGCTTTCTGGCCAAATGTCCCATTGGCCTTTACCAATCATGGCCTCCTAATATTCCCATTCTATCAACTTCATCACTCTGCACTCTTCCCCACTGATAGCTGGTGTGTGGTGAGTGTACTGGTGCACTATGGCTGCTGTCACATCATCCAGGTGGGGCTGCACATTGGTGGTGGTGGAGGGGAGACCCCATTACCTATAAAGTGCTTTGAGTGGAGTGTCCAGAAAAGTGCTATATAAATGTAAGCAATTATTATTATTAACCCTCAGTTAGGCTTGTGACAAAGATAAAATTCACCCTGGGCTTGCACAGCCTGGCCTTCTTAAAGATCACCCTTAATCCAACTGTTAAAGCAATTCCTCCCACCTTGCACTGATCTCCTGTGTCCTGGGAGCTGGTGAGTAGGGCCTGCTGTGTATCACCCAGGAGGAACTGCACTACACTGGTGGATGATGTTGTTCCACTTCTATATGTAAAGTGTTTTAGGATCCTTTTGGGATGAAACAATATAAACTGCTACTCTTACATGAACAAATCATCAAATAAAATATGTTTGCTGTATTCCTCACTGCTATCTGAGAACAAAGCTTCCATTGATTAACCTCAGACATTCTTGCTGTCCATGAAACACAGAAATCAACTTACAGTACCTGCATTTTGATTCTTCTTCTCTACAGAAGTCCATGCTTAGTCAAAAAAGAATTTCCAGCTTCTGTTGTTCCTGTTGTATAGTTTTCAGGCCCTTACCAGCATGGACAGTATGTAAAATGCTTCCAATGCAAACAGAGTCAGTACAGTTTGATTTCTCATCTGGTTGTGTTAATGTAGCGATTGTCTCTAAGGGTTATCTATAAACTTTTGAATGAAAGCTGATAGTGACCAGGCTATATGCTTGGAATGCAGTTGTTATTAAACACAAATTATATGGCATACCTGTTTTGTGTTTCACATTTGTTTCACATTTGCAGTTCCCAAATTTGTGAGCACATGTAAAATTTAATCTTGGACATTGACAACAACTGGTCCCCTGTTGACAATCTCAGAGAGGCCTTTCAGTGCTCTCTGAATTCAGCAGTGTCTGCACTGTGCCTCAAACGCTCTGACTAACAGCAGACTTGTATTAAGTTCTGTACTATGTAACTGTTAAAGACATTATGGAAATTGGCAATATTTAGAAAAACTAGCTATCTAATGAGACAAGAAAAATACTACTGTCTGTAAATTGTCTACTATTTACAGAGCATTCTTCTCATCGAAGGTTATCTTCTTTTCAAAAAAGAAATAATACAATTTAAAGAGTATTTAAATTATTCCGTATTTATTGTGAAAAATGTAATTTCTGACTTTGTTGCCCAACACTTTTGGAGGTATTTATGCAATCACTAGGATAATTAATTCTCCCGGAGAATGAAATAATTTTTTTTTTAACTGAAACTCAACATTCTTTGCATATGCCTTACTGATCCTGTAAATATTAAAGATTGAAACAGAAGTTTTGTAAAACTTAAAATTAAAATTTAGAAGGAAATGGTTTCATACAAGTTGCGTAAAACTGAGCAAATTTGATTTTCTAAAAATCCAGGCTGTGTGATTCATGTTCAGATGATTACTTTGTGCATACATTATTTATACTAAAATAGTGGCCTTGGATTTATTAACTTTCATTAAAGCCTCACATTTGAAACTTTTGACGTATTAGATTGCAACACAATAAACCTCAAACCTAAAAGCACTGAATAAAAAGGCACCAGCAGGCACAGTGGAAGAATTGTAGTTGGTTTAAATGACTTGGCTTCAAAGTGTTAATACAGTTACCATATACTAACAGGTAAAATGAGTGAATGCAGTAGTTATTGCCATAAGAGGATCTGTACACCCTGCAAACATTACACCATTACAACATTGTGGATCACTGTGGCTCAAAATTGTCTTCTAAACAGTTTTTCAAACACTCTCTAAGCGTTTTGCTGCTTATTTATGCATGTAATTGCATTTCCGCTGGCATTTCTTTCAGCATTTTTCAAGTGACTGAACAAGTCTCCTATTCTGGGATTGCTTGGTCATCCTGTTTGTTATTGAGCACTGAAGCCCTGTTTGGTGTGCTGTGGTCTGAAGGAACCCCAACACAGCTCTCGGGATCTGGCAATGCCTTTGTGTACAAAAAACAAATATCATAGAAATATTTATATTAGCTGATTAAGAAATTATCCCTCAAAGGATATTCCTATCACTTAATGTTCAAGCATGTTAAATGAATGATTATTTATACAGGCAGAGAGGGGGAAAGATGTGTGAATTCTCCCATTCAGCAATACTACTACTACTAATAGTAATATGACAATAATAATAATAAACATTATTTTATATAGAGGCTTTGAAAGTAAAGACTTAGAGAGCTTCACAGTAAGTGTAAAAAACAATTGAAAAAAGTTAGAAGGATAGATTACAAAATAGGCACATATACTGTACAGAATATAGAAAATCAAGTGGTTAATAATTTCTTACACTTACGTAATATAGCAATATTACTAAAATAGCAATCTGGCCCTCTGCCATGGCCAGAGAGGAGAGATTGCACAAAGAAAACTGTACCTGGAGCAATAATCAAAACATGGAAAAAATAGAAATAAAGAATATTTCAGTTTTGCAAAAAGGGCTTGCAATACTATTACTCCAGAGAGTGAAGTACTGTCTTCCTGTGTCTGTATCATAAGATGTTAATACATCCACTTTTCAAAATGTTTTGCTCTCATGTATTACTCTCTTAATAAACTCGTCTTATTTTGTTAAACTGCATTTAAAGTGTTTTTCGTGCTTATTCCACCTCTTGCCAGTTCTCCAGCTTCAAAACGTGAATATGCTGTACATAGTGAGCCACCCCAGCTCAGGCGATATCTCTGTGTTAAACAGAGAGGGATATACTTCTTCTCACTAGGCAATTGCGTTACTTAGATCAGTAAGAAAAAAACATTGAATACTTTCGGGAAAGGCTGTTCCAGTAAACCAACAATGCATTTAAGGCAGTTCATTAACATCACCAAGTGCTGAACTGGAACCTGGTTTAATTTACGGATTAGTTAGCAATTGCCTACTCTGAAAGGAACTGCTTTTACTGGACTCCTCTGCTGTGGTTTCTTAAAGCTGCAAGAGCCCCTAAACTTAAACAAACAAAGTGAAAGAAGGAAATTATCTCAACAGTGTTGCTGCATCTTTACTGCCACACCACAGCGATGCCATTTTTCTCTTTTGAATTGTCTGTTGTTCATGTCAAAGAAAGTCGATTTGGAAGTCTCAGATGTTGTGCCTTATGTCACATATGTTAGATGTTTGTTTTGGGTCACTTACTTTTGTGGTTCAAATACCGTTCTGTCAATAACTCCTCAACCGCCTGGTCTTGATTGACCATGAAGAAACGCTGGGAAGGAAGTCAACACATGCACAAAACTAAAGAATGAAACAGCTGGCAGACGAAAAACAAGCAAAAATATAATGACCCTTTATGTGTAAGATACAGGCTGTTGAAACTGCTCTTGGCCGTACTCTTAAGAACACAAGAAAGGTTGCAAAAGAGAGGGAAAAGAAGTATCTCCTGTTCTCAGTTTCAACTGCACTTCCACATAGTTTCCACTTGTGCCCGCTGGCTCATGTGCCAGTGTTGACTCGGGAGAAGTCTGCTGGGTTGACTTTATTAATGTGTTTGAAGATATCGCTTGTGTTCCCACGTACTGAATCAACAGTAAACAGACATGACAATGTTTGCCTTTTGCTTCACAAATTAAAATTGCTTAAATGTCCCTTTAGACTGAATTGAAGAATTAGTTACAACAGAGTTATAAGGATGGCTTCAGCACATTAACCATCCCTCCATACGTTTTCTAACTGCTTTATACAGGGTTACAATACAGCCACCACATACTGTACCCTGGCAAGCAATGGGCAGGATACACCCTGGATGGGAAGCCAGTCCACTGCAGGCCACACAGACACAAACACAATCTCTCACGCCAGGGCCAACCTTCCCAGAAGCCAATTAACCTACCAGCATGCCTTGCACTCTAGGAGGAAACCCAGGCAAACGTGGGGAGAACATGCAAACGCCACGCAGATAGTGCCCTATGTTCGGAATTGAACCCAGGGCACCCACACTGCGAGGAAGCAATGCACACAACTGCACTACCATGTCTCCAAATTAGAAAATGCTGGCCATCTGAGCTATTTCCCCACTCCATCTGGACGACACCACACTCAATGGCTCCAGGAGAAGTCCTGACAGCCCCCTTCCCCAGGCGGATCAGCTGCACACACAGCCAGCTGAGATGGGTTCAGCAGACGCTAATGTCAGCTTCCTGTCACATCAGAGGAGGCCTAAAGGCCAAGGGGTGAGGCTGCTTTCACCCAAAGTACTGAACCAGGAGCTCAGTTTCCTTAAATAGCAGCTGGAGTATGAGAGATGAGATACTTCCTTTGCTGGTTCTCAACCTGTACTGGCAGGAATGAAGGGATCATGCCAGGACCTTCCACCTTCAAGTAATACTCACAATGATCTTGAATTTGTCAACAAGGTCTTGTCACACCTCATCTATTATTCATTTAGACCGCAGCTATGATTTCTCTAATAATCTCCCTGAGCCACTGTGCTCTTACGAAGCAGGAGAAAATAAGGTGATTGTAAACACCTTCTGGAGAACAGTACAGTGCAGCACACAGGAACTGGGGCATTATTTTATAATAAGGCCCAAAAAAGAATTAAATGAAATTAAAACAGTCTTTGTTGCATGTGAATAAAGACCAATTTGTTTGAACAAAAAGCAAAACGTAACAACAGTTACCCAGCAAACATTTTATATAGACACTGTAATAGAAAAGCAAAATATTCTACAATATACAGTACAGTATATAAAAAACATTTCCCATTGAATTTCCATTTTTCCATTTCCAGTAAAAAAAAGCTTTTCCATTGGGACGTCTAAAGATATTATTTGAAAAAGTGCATTTGAATAAAAAAATTCTTAATGCTAAAAAGATTTTTCTAATTTTTCATTTCAAAATAATAAAATATTAGTTACTGTATGTGGCTACATTAAAAGTTTAAATGTGATTTTAAAACCAAAACAACTACTGCAGATTAAGAAAAATCCAGTCCAGGATTTCAAATGTCAATCTAAATATTCAGGCATATATTAGAAAACTAAACCAAATTACATTTAGAATATTTATAAATACAAATGACATTGCTTAAACAGTTTATGAAGTGAACACTGTAATTCCCAATGATTTTTACAATGCTTATCCTATCAGTATACATTTAAGTAAGCTCAAAATTAGGTATTGTTGAATTGCCTGTAGAATAACGTAAAACCGTTTTCATCTGCAAGGCAGCGTAACAAAGGCACTAAATCATAAACCCACTAAGGAGTAACTTCCACAATAGCACAAACATGTGTGAGGTCATTAGTTTGAGTTATGTCTGATGAGGTTGACTAGTGAGCCATCTTAATTCTTTACTCCACTTCACTTAAGTACTTGCAAGGGTGGCTCAATGCTTACTAGGATACAATGAGACAGGTCAGAATGTTTAAATTGCACTTAAATTGAAAGTTGCAATATGTAGATTCAGCATTACTCGAGCACTGGATTTTAACATTAAATTGTGCATTTGAGATGAAATTCAATGCTTATTGTCCATGTGGGGTCAGGGCAGTGAAACGAAGGTGAAATACTGGTCACTATAAAATCTAACTTGAAACTGCTTTTGAACATACTTGTATAATTGTTTAGCTGTTCACATGTTTCCAGTATTGACAGGAGTAGCGAAGAGTTAACCGATATTACACACTTACTGAGCACTGACATTAAGCACTCATTTTCACCCCAGGAAAGGTACAATGGGTATAATCCTGATCCTTACTCCAAAGTCTCATAAATACACAGGAGACGAGATGAGGATGGGAGAGGTCTGCGAAAAACTGCAATACTGTCAAATGGATAAGTTGTGGAACTCTGTTAAGAGGACTTTAGGAATGAGAAGTTATTTGGTGGACTCAATATTAGAATAAGCTCATCAGCACAGCAGGAACGAATGGTGAAGAGCAATAAGGAAAAAAAGGTTGTTTTTTTTTCAGTGGACATTCTTTAACACCCCTTCAATCCCAAACAAGGTTTCATTCTGTGTTTGGTAGAAAGATTCAGTGTGGAACCGATTCATTAATAAGTGTGAATCTGGTTACTTGCTATTTCTTTGGGCTCTGCTTCCTTCTTGTCCTCTTATAAATGAAATGTATTTAACCTTTGAAAAGAATGAAAAACAGGCTCCTGATACTGTATACTTAATGTGGAAAAGATTCAAAGTGCCAGGGCACCCCAGCACCTTGTCAGTCATTGGTACTGTACATTATGGTACAGAAAGACTGTATTGTAATCTCCTGAGCTGCATTTAAGGATGAAAAAAAAACTTTAAGCAAGGGCAACATATACTGTAGGTTCTGCTGTGATACACAGCCAAATGACAGCAGCAAACAGCTTTTCCTGACTCCAGCTTAACAAACAGTAAGACCATCAGGATGCTAAGACGGCTCTGCAATGATTTTAATGAACAAACACACACATAAAAAAACACTTTTTTAAAACCGATTAATCTAACCAATTTTCTGCTCCACTTTTTAAATGTTGTTTACCAGTATGAATGAAAGGAATGATAAAATTATGGTGTTATTTTCCAGATGGAAAGGATTGTGTAATTTGTTTTCACCCTTCCAACACAAACTAATCGCTGACAATTAAGAAACATTGGTCATTTTCATAAAAAATGTCATTGCACAACTGGGATTAATATGTTTGTAATTCAAAAATTACATAATGTGTCATTGGAAGGTAATTCTATTAACAAAGGCCTAAATGCAAATTAATATATGTACTGTTTTTTAATAATCACAAATAACAGTGTATGTAATGATGAGTACAACTTAAACCATTCTTTTTTGTGTAACACGACAAAGAACTGAAGGAAAATTAGGCTTCTTTGTTAGTAGACGTCTTTCTATTCAGAATCATAGTTTGTATTCTAAGTTCCTGTGCATTTCCTAATCAACATGTTTGACTAAAGATAAAAATGTTATATATTAGCCTGAAAAACTCTGTCAAGAGTCAATTTTTTTCATTTTACATACTAAGTAACTCTTTGAGTTGAAGTGTTTTTACCTGTGAAGTACAAAACCACTAAGCAAAGGGCTCCTTGGCTCGTGTCTACAAGGAGAGGCAGGGATTAGTTCAAAGATACGTCATCGATTCTCGGTTCTCTCTCTCTTTCGCCTGCGCAACGGCGACGCTGATGCACTGCAGCCACTCCTCCGCGTTCTTCTCGTCCTTGGCCTTGAGAACGTAGGTCTTGCTCTCGGTGAAGATCTCGAAGGCCCGGGGAAGACTGCGGTCTCTGCGCTTCTTCGCCACCGCCTTCACACTCTGCACCTTGCTGAGCTCAAGGGGGCTGTCGTCCAAGTCGTCTTTCTGAAAAGACGGATTGGATTCCTTACAGCGCTGTCCATCACACACAGAAGACTACACGGCTGTGCCATAGAAATGCTACAACTGCATTCTTGTTAAACAAACACAAACTGCATCCACCAGTTAGAGGCAGAGTTGTTGTTCGGTGTAATAGTAGTTATTTGAAGAAAATGCCTACTGAAGAATTTACTACACGGGCGGCTACTGTTTCAGAGCTGAACAGAAAGGTAGCTAGGAAACAAGAATGTGTAAGTTTTATGAGCATCAGAAAATAATGCATGTAGGTTTTGGATGATGGATGTTAAAATGAGTCTAAAACTTTAATTTGACCATTTGGGACTTGTGTGTAAATGTCAATAATAAACACCGACATTACACCTTTTGACATTCAAGTGTTGCCAGATCTTTGGCAACATCTTTTGGCAAAACACTAGTAGTTAATGGGCTGCAAATCTTCCTAGAGATCACACCAGCTGAAAGGTTTCCAGCAGGGATGTATTCTCCACGTTCTGACTTCTTGTAGCCACTTTTGGCACACTGCTGCCCGGGTAAATCTGCTTTGAATTAGTGGAAACTTTGTGACCAATGTAAAAATCTCTGACCAGGTTACCACACAATGGGGAAAGACATTCCAGAAATCTTTAAAGGCACTTTGGTCATGAACGCCACGGGCTCTGAGTGAAGGAAGAGAGAAAAACTTTGAGATGACAAAAGACAGAACAAGGCATTTCTTTACAAGCTGTGACTGGCCTTGGATTGATGAAAGGGTAACTACATCAAAAGCAAACAGCGTGCTATTTGATAAGGTTTGAAAGGGCCCTATGCATCCAAATATTGTTTAGCAGATGACAAATGGTTTACACATGCACCACGAGACAACAGAGAATGGATTGTCAAGAGGAATCAGCAACAAAGAAATCTAAATGTTCTTTAGAATATCTGGCTCCAAAGGAGATAATATGGACATGACAGTCACTCTGTAGCCAAGACCCCTGTGAATTTATATTGAAATACTGTATCTTGTGCCTTATTTTGATGGTAAACTTCCTAATCCGCTTTCCTTCTCTGTAAATGTTTCTTCCAAATGGGAAGAATGCAGCCACACAATGTCCTTTCTGTTGAATGATATCAGGTTTAGCTGCAAATCCACTCAAAGTTTAAGGTTGTTTACAGTGCAAAACCTGAAGCAGACTTACTACACTGGAGGGCTGGGTGCTTAATATGCAAACTCTGTTACCCATGCATGTTACACCCTGCATTCCTGAGACCTCTCTGCGTGCAAGCCCATTCTCTGCACACTTCCATAAAACACAGTCCTTTGCCGTTTAGGTGCTTTCTGTTGCTTGACATGTACAGTAAATGTATAAAAAAAAGGTCTGCCTTCATCACTAAAATTAAATTGAAAGACAATTTCATATCGACGTAAAAATATCAGGTGCTGCATCTAAAGTATAAAAAGAATGAATGACCTTTTGCCTCATGGTCAAGTGGGAGTGAGTCATGTTAAGATTGCCATACAGATCACACCGACAAGAGAGCCAGAGGAGGGTAATCTTGTTCCGGACCCTCTGCTCTCTGCCAAAGATGGCCCTTATTCAAGCCTTCCATGACCTAATGCTGAACACTGACTCAGAATCACGCACAAAGCTTGTTTGTTGGATGTATTAGTGTAAGGAACATTGAAGGCATCGCAAGATGTCTTTGATTTCAATTAGTTCAATTTAAAGTTCGTCGCCGGGGTCCCCTCAGGGAGGTCTTTTACTGGAACTGTGCTTTTTGTCATTTCTGTGTACTCTCTGGAGTAACATTGCAGTGATATTCTAGCGCTCCACAATGTCTGGCTTGTGTTTTGTAATGTCATCATGATGGCTTGATTACAAGAAAGAAGAAAAGTCAGGAGGAAAAAAGAAAGAAAACACCGCTGCATGTTCACCGAGGGCGAAATGGAGACCTACCGATTTTCCTTTCCGAAAAAGGAGCTGGTTTCCCGCCAGAGTGAAGTAACGGGTTTTCCATCTTTTGATGAACCTCCACCGGACTTGCTTTTCCTTCAACTTGCCTTCAATGAGAGGCTGCCCATCCTGGTTTACCACTGCTCAGACAACAGGACGCCACTTTAATGCACATTCAGTTCAGTCGGGAGAAATCACTGGAGTGGTATTTTCACAGGCGGGCTCATCTCTTACAATACCTCAGCCGCCTAACGATCTCTTATGCTTGCTTTCTGATGGATTATTTCCTATTTCTGCACCATCTTTAATTTGTGCTGACATATTTTTGAGAGTCTGCTTTTACCACGGCAAGTCAAGTTAAAGATTTCTAGGGGCTCCACTCCGCGGCTTCACACAACCCCTTCCCTGTCCCGCGGTATTGCGACACGATCTAGCTTTATGGCTAGTGGAGCTAAAAAAAAGACCACACGCCTACAGTGGGGTGCTTGATTTCAGCCATTCAAGCCTACTTGACAGGTTAAAACCACAAACGGTGTACCTTCCCACACTCTGGAGGATAGTGATGGAGAAGGTTGACCATGGCCTACAACGAAACAGAAAAGGCTGTATTCCAGCTCATTTCCTAATGTTATATCCTTCCTAAAGGAGTATATGTCCTTGGAAGCAACACTCATGTCAACTTGGATTGAAGGCACTGAGCCCCCGTGTATATTTAAATACAAGCATCATGTCTGGGTCACAATCTGTGCGCAGTTTATACTTTCAGTGTTAATGTTGTGCCAGAAAATCAGGAACGTGGGTCTTGTTCCAAATTCTGAATAACAGAGCATTGTCCTCTCTGGGTTTTATTTGATATTTCCATCTCACCAACTGTAATTTTACTCCCTTTCTCTTTGGAATTTGCTCTGGCTGAACTATGAGTTCCAACTGTTGGGATCTAGGCTCATAAGTCTTAGGGTATTTTTGGTATAAGACACAGCCCATCACTGCTGAGAAACCGTGAAGCGGGAAAAATCACGTAGAATCTAGAGAGTTGGTTGTCCTTCCCTGGAAAGAAATTCCACTGCACTGACAATAACAGCATTGAAAATCATTTGAAATGAAGCCACGGATGATTGTAATACTTTAAGAAAACATCACCTTAACCTCAATCTGTCCTGTTTATATTTGTGTGTCACAAGTAGTAGGGTTTCATGGACAAAGTCAAGTCTTTCAAACCAATTATACTTTGGTAATATTTTACATTAGGTTCTCCAGAGTACGAAGTTTTTGCAATCTGGGATAGATTAACAGGCTGTTAACGTGGTATCTTTAACCTGGATATAACTGATCTCTGCTAATGATAAATTACTAGACATGTACACTTACAGATGTTTCACTGTGTAAGTGTGTTATTCTGTGTTAATAGCTTAACAGGTTGTTAATTATGCATTTAGAACTTCAGTTCATTTTAATTCAATTTAAATCATGAGATGAGACTACAAATGGAGAAAAACAGAGCCACACAAATAGAATTAAGATGAATGAAGATCATATTTCAAGTTCAGGAAGGACAAGGGTAATTATCACCCATACAATAACAAAAACATTGTGTCTGGTATATAACAGATGTAGTCAAGAATAAACGCGATGTAGTGAAATCCCTTAATAGAAAAACTATTAGAAACTACCGTGTGTTTCTTTGATGTCCATACATATGTTGTTACTGTTATTACATCTGTAGTCTGCCTACACAAATGTAGAAATGTTTTCTAGTCTTATACCATGAAAGCATAAGGGAAACAGTGGGATAGGTGACTCAGCATTATCATTAAAACTTTGATGCCAGATGTCAAAAACTCAAGCCAGCTAATGGAGCTGACAGTCATGGTGGGGGTATTCAGAAAATCCTTCTCTGGATTCCTCGGGCTTTGATGTATCCAAAATTAATAATATGGAATAGCCAAGAAAACTGTGGAGACAGTCCAGATAAAAGTAATTGGAAGCAAATGTAAGTTTCAGTGGAGTCTAAAATATCTTAAAGGATAAAAAACACAACTGTTTTTGTTCGTTCTTACAATAACATCCTGGTTACAGTCGTATTTGTTTTCTGGAAGGAGACAATGAGAATACATTCTAGGCAAAAGTGATGTACTGTATGTCAATAAACTCATACGATCTATTTAGATTAGTCCAAACGAATTACAGAACTGTTCCTTGACCAAAATCATCAAATCTCCCTTAAGCTTTGAAAAACAGCCGTGCCCAGTGTAGGCATTCTGTTGCCTTATGGGTCGTCAGCTGTCTCTGATGTGCTAAAAAGGACTGGGAGCTGGACATTATGGATTTCTTCTGGAAAAAAACCCACATGCTGTATTTACAATACACATTCTTTTTAAAATCACAATGCTTTTGTTTTTTCATATGGAATCTGCATCACTTGGGATGATTTCTTCACATATAGACAGCTGCCCCAAGGTACAGAAATTTGATTCAACTAAATGAGTCCTGCCCAACCCCCCCAAAAAACAACTGAAGCCTACATTTCTTGCATTCCTTACATTCTTCAGCGTTTTCTATCCTAAAAGTGTTGTACACTTAGGAGGGCACACTCTCCATCCACAGCTGTAGTGCTGCCCTTACCTGGGTGACACGCGGCACCCATTCTGCACCAGCAGCCCCACAGCGGATTATACACAGCAGATTGTGTAATGAAATGAGAAACTTCTCCAGGAATAGAGTTCAAGTGGGATTATAGGAAGGCCAGAGTGTCACCAACAAGGACTGCAGCAGAAACCTGGATTTCTCCTTAAGTCTCCCATTAACAGCACTAACCTAGCTCTGCCTTCCTCCTGAGACCTGATGAGATCAGGACACAAGGAGACCACACTGCCACCCCAGCCTGAGCTCATTTCATTCAGCAACGGCACATCGCTAGACACACAAAACTGAAAGGTGGTTGAATCTGTACAGATTTTTCTCGAAGCAACTTGGTTCATCGTGATTATGAAGGGTGTTGTGATTCTTTTTTATGGTAGGGAAACGCCTAGATCTGTACAGCTCTAAATATCATAATGCCCTCATCAGGAGAGGCAATAAGGCTGGTGATGTCAGCCCCAAGAGGGCATGCTGGGATAGATAGGAAACTATCAGGGACATTATTAACTATCTGTGGTCTCAGGTTCCCACCCTGACCTGCCTGGTCTCTGTTAGTCGGGACCGCCCACCTTCACTGTGTATAGCAGGGGCTTACTTCTTGCTGCCTAGTGAGAACAGTCCTTTTAAGGATAACAAAATTATGCCATCTTGACAAATAAAGAGCACTTCCAGTACCACTCTTCTGTGTGTTTATTGCCCACATTACAATATTCTTTCAGAGATAATAAGGGCGAAAGCTCTGATCTCTCAAAGTACAGAGTATATACTGTACACAAAGCTCATCAATTAATAATATTTATTATTTGCCAACAATGAGCTTTATGATCTTGGCAGAAAGTATTTTTAGTCATACTTCAGTTTAGAACTTGCAAAATGTGATATTTAATACAATATGTTCATACTATGCCAGCAGCCATATCACCCTGCAGCTCCCAACTGGCTACCCACTGAAGCAAAGCAGGGTTGAGCCTTGTCAACCTGGATCAAAGACCTCCTGGGAAGCTATGCTTGCTGCTGGAAGTGTTGTTAGTGGGACCAGCAGGGGGTGCCCACCCTGCGGATTGTGTGGGTCCTAATGCCCTGGTATACTAGCAGGGACACTATATTGTAGTGGGCGCCGTCTTTTGGATGAGATGTGAAACCGAGGTCCTGACTCTTAGTGGTCATTAAAGATCCACGGGCATTTCTTGATAAGAGTAGGGATTTACCCCAGTGTTTGGGCCAAATTTCCCCCCTTGGCCTTTACTGTGGTCTCCAAATGGTCCCCATGTATGACTGGCTTGCACTTGCCCTGCGATGGACTGGTGTACTGTCCAGGGTGTACCCTGCCTTGTGCTTGTTGCTTGCCAGGTAGGCTCCGGCTTCCCACGACACCGTATGGTATAAAGCGGTTTGGCAAATGTCATGACGTTTATAATACAATATAATTCACTTATAAAGTATAATAGTTAGAACAAACTGCAAATAACCTCAGGGTAAGAAGCAGAGTTCAGGCTGTGAGGAGGATAAGCGGTTTGTTACATACAGTTCATCTGCAGCAGGGCTTGGTTATCGTCACATAATGTCATTGTTAGTACTTTAATCAGTTTCCAAAACATTTGTAAATGGCATTCATGACCCCTAAGCGTACGTGTTATTGTATTTATTCAAGAATTATTCCAGTTAATAAATAATACATTAAATATTAGTGTAATACTGTAAAAAAACATATAAATAGTGTGCTGGTTAATTATCTTTGAATGTCAACATACGTAATATAAAAAGGAGAAAAAATAGTTCCGTTCAAACATTTATAATTTAGGGTGAACTCTGCAGTGGAAATTTATTCATTACTCTTAACTGAAACATCTGTAGTTAGCATTTTGCAACCTCTCAACTACCAACTATATAAAATGCAAAGTGAGTAAACATCCTACACAAACACATAAATCATTTTTAAAAGGTTTTCATTCAACCAAGGTTTGGAATAACAGTGGATGCAGGAAGAATCAACAAATGAGTCAGAGATGTAGGAATTTAAACAGAACTCTATGAGTAAAGCACTTGCCCAGCGCTGTTAACACATTTTATTTAATACTTTTAAGTAGAGAGCCAGCAGCTGTTACACTACAACCCACAACCATAAAGCCTAAACACAGGTGATGTCAGTGAAAAACACATATGAATGACATTCATTTAATAGACAAGGCTACTAAAAACAGTTAAATATAAGTTGTTAACGTTTCACTTATTGTATATATGAGACTCAGGACTTTTTAATTTAGCGTTAGTGTTTTTATTGAAAGAGCAAGAATGTTTACAGACACACGTCTGATATTTGTACCTAAACACTTGCAGAATGTCCCTGTTCATTAAGGAACTGCTAGCCACCCGAGAACTTTTAAAACTATAGAACTGTAGTTCCTTTGTTTCAGAATTTCCGTTTTGGCTTTGCTAGCAGGGTCTTTACAGCTTTCAAGTGGGATCCTGAACAGCTTTATGGAGTAACTTTGTTTGACATGCAATGAAAGCCAACTGTCCTTCCAGGGGGCTACCAGAGACTTCAAGACTCAAGAAGTCTGTCCCAAACCCGCTGCCAAATTCCTGTCTGATCTTATTAACAACAAAGAAAAAAAGAGCTTCTAGATTTTATCTTACAATGCAAGTTGTATATTTAAAAGGAATTTAGTGCTTCGCAAACAAAGACAATATGAAAAAGGCACAATAATTTCCTGTAGCACACATTTTCCCAGTTCCTGGTTTTCAATCAATGCTGTTTCATTACAACATAATCCGAGAAAAGGTTACTGATGAAGGCTGTGTACATGGAAGGCTTGGTAAATGTAATCATTATTGATTAGTAAGATGAATATTTGAATGTCTATCAAGCCCCATGTATTACGTGGCCAGTCTCCTGCGATATGTAGACTGGTCTGCCATTGACGTCTTCAACGTGCACTTTGCTGGACACTGTCTTTTACTAATCCTAGACAATTGGCTTTTTCTGCATGAGTGTACACGCCAGTATCATGTAATAAAATGTGAGACAGCTAGCCTGTTTTGTACCGTTGTGTATGCAGCGCGAGCACTACACCTTTATTCCTGATCTTTGACTTCTTTATTTTCATCTTTAGTGAAAGAGGGTGGGAACTGCAGCTTGCTTAATCTTCATCTGCTTCAATTATCCGCTGCAGATTTTCATGTTATATTTGTTTGCTAATTATACTTGTGTTTCAGAAGACATTTGCATGCTAGTCTTGGATACAATATGATACGAGATTCAGAATTAATTCAGAAGCACCAGTTGTGGGGTTGTGTTCAATTGCCTGCAAATAAAAATACAAGAACAGAGATCACCTGGTTGTGTTCGTTTAGCTCCAGTGTTCACCAGTCCCCATGCTAAGAAGACAGATTATCAACCTCCACTGCAGAAAAGACAAGTCAAAAATGCAGATCCAGCAATAACTCCGCTGTATGCTTCCAAACTAACCAGGACCATTGTCCAATTATTATTGGATAATAATTATTTATGCGGCATGTGCATTCCAAAAATATGTTTGCAAGGAGATTCTGGACAAATGAACTGATCAAAGTTTTGCATTGATTTAAGTATTTTTAAAAACACTTCTTGGCCGACGGAGTGCACTTTCTTGTCATTTACGAATATTTTGAAAAGAAAACTAGCCGATTATCCAGTAAACCAATTTAGGTAAATGGCCTATTGGGAATTTCCTTAATTTCGTAGTGGGCCACCCCAGTTCTTGTACACACACACCTAATTAGACATGTCTCTTAAAGCACAAAAGACAAACAACAGCTCAGAAACAAGAATGGAGTGAAAGCAGTAGCATGTGACACTACTGTTGTTGCATTGGCTGACCCATAGTAACCCTCTGCAACCTCTGTGTTTGTTCCTTACATACAAAAGATCAGCTCTGTCAGCTTGAGATCCAAATTGCTCAAGTTTAATTGACCAGAAGATATGCCTCTTTCCAAATCGGTCCACTTTTTAAGAAAAGAACTGTCCTCTGAGACCAAGAATAATGTGAACCCCCCTGTGCTGATGTAGAAATACCAGAAAACAATGCATTCCATTTACAACCAGCGCATGCCTCTGCTCTCTTGAGGAGACACACATTTACATAAACAGCTGAGCTTTCCAAGAAAAGGCAACAGATGCAAATGCACTTGTATAAACTGTAAGACACAATACAAGCCTTTTTTTTTCTTCAAGTTGTTTGTTATTGACTGCAACGGCTTCAGCTCGTAATGCTGTTTCTGATATCATTTCCATTCCATGGTAATTTCATGGTAAATTAAATCTGTTTAAAGTTTGTAAAAAGAGAATCCTAATTTTGTCCAATGTGTAAAACACAGACGCTCACTGTTTTCGCCCTCTCGCTGCTTTCTAACGTACTGTACATGATTCGCACGTGAGCAATCTTCCACTAGCATTGCTGTGTGCTTCACTTTGTTTTCCCAGGAATCCCACTGGCAACTGCAAAGGGACAGAAGGGATTAGCTGGCAGGAAGGCGACACGCGACTGGAAAGATGGAGCCTGAGAGAAATCTAAGCACTGGAGACCAGCTCAGCCCAGGCGCCTGCAGACATGGATGTGGCTCTGAGATCGTCTTCCTCTAGGATGAGCTGTGGTCGGACACCGCGGTCATGCCAAACGGATCAGCTCCAGCTGCTGTAACCCCACAAGGTGACAAAGGTCTGACAAGAAGAGGCCTGTGGAATGAGCCTGCCCCTCATAGTGGAGTACAGCATCCTGGGCTATCAGACAGTCCTGGACTGGCTGCTTCCTCACAAAACCCACATGACAATCCTCCTAGCAGATCCACCGCAGGGAACCGTGAAGGGGACTCTGGGAAGGAACCGACACCTGGATCCATTTACAGGGAGCACATTGCAGGGGATCCTGGTTTACAGCAGGATGTCCATAATGAAATGTACCCTGAAATGCATTTCTTCAACTTTTATATGAAAAATTCGTGGCCTGGTTGCAGCCAAACTCCAACAGCTGGAATGCTTTGAATATCAAACTCCCTTACGAACTGACCTGCAGTTTCAATGCATTCCAGGCCCCAGGTGTTAAATGCAGGACGCAAATGTATAAATAAGCTGATTTTGTCTTTAATGTTCTCCAAACTAGCAAACATGCTGTACTTGGAGTCTCAGACTCCAGGGGGGATGGTAACAATGAACAGAAAACCCTACATAATGCATTCATTTTGGAAGGTGTCTTGAATGATGTTTCACGTTCAACCACACTTCTCCGATAACCACATCCATATGATTAATATCGGTAGGAGTCCATTTAGACTTGAGACATAGTCTACAGCTATCTTAACGTAGGGCTTCACATAACTTGTAAGCAGGTATGCGCATTTTCACTAAAGATGTGCATGTTTTCATGATCATAATAAATCAGCTATAGGATACTACCTACAGTATAGTGGGTGAGAAATACCCTGCTACCAAACATGTCCACCTTGTGACGGTACATCTGCGTCTTGTATGATATATTAAAGCACTGGCATACCAGTTACAAAAAACATTGGTTGTATGTTTTTTTTTCAGTCTAGAGAAGCAGTTTAACTTGAAAATTAAAAGGTTTTCCTCACTTACTCACTTAATCCTCATATAAAACTAACGTACATGATGCCATGAGAGGCCAGCAGGTTGCTACTGACTAAGTTCTATACTTTGAGCATTATTACCAGCAAAACAGTCCGAGTACAACAATGTGCCAATGCAGGTTCATTTCTAAGGAAAAATACCTGTTGCCTTTTCGGGATTGTTGCACATGAAACACAGCCAGCCTCCCGTTTCCTCACTGTAGCCAAACAAGTCATAAAAACGCGCCTCTTCCAAACGCGTGTGCAGGGCTTCCAGGTCCTGCACAGAAAGAGCACACAAGGGACTGTGAGTCCTCCGGTGTTTCCCTGTTTTTCCAATGGGAAACGGCATGGGAAGAAGGTCAGTATTGCTCCATTTATGACATTTGCAATAGAGAACAAGAAGATCAGGAACACTAGAAAGAATTAAATGTCATTACCCAGTTATGTACCTTATTGGTTTCACTACCCTATGTCACTTGTGGGCTTTTTCAACATGCCCAGGCACGGTTTTCTAAAGGCTTCTAAACGTGTAACTGTCTTTCCTTTCAGACGTTCGCTCCCAACACATCTTGGTAAGTGTACATCGCCTCGGTTCAAAAGTCACGCCCCGGAGCCCAAATCATTAGAAACTGCGCTTTGGAATGCTAAAAGGCGCATGAACACCGGGGTTAAGTAAATAAGCGAAGAATGCAAGATGTGACATTTCATTTTATACTACTTATATAAAAAAAGGTCCATCTGACCTCTGAATTGTCCCATATGATCATGCACATTCTGAAATCGAGTCCAGTTTCTTAAAGGAAAAGTGATATTCTTTTTAAGCTTGGATAACATGAGAATGCGTGACAGGGGCTATCTTATTTTCTAACATACCGATATCAACACCTGTAGCAAGTTTCTTTTTTTGTAAGAATTGCTAAATACAAAGGAAAGGGGTTGTTACTGTGCATATAGCTTATTATGGTCCTAGGAAAGAGTGCCCTTGTTTTGCAATGCAGATACATCATTTGTGAAAACAATATCTACCCCAGTACAATGCACGAAGAGCCTGTGAGCCAAAGGAGAAACAAACCCCACTTTACAACAGGCCTCTCCTGCTTAATGACAGATTTCTGTCTTTGCGTAGCTCCTAGAAATAAACAGTAAAATCAAATTCATTTTCTTGTTTGTTTCACCACGACTGTTGCTACCCTTATAAGAGCTCACCCTGCTCTAGCTTTTTTTTTCTTACACTGCTTTGTATAATTTCAGTCAATCCACATTCTATTAAGGTACACATTTATGTTTAAGAAATCTCAAAGGGCAAAGTACACAAAAGAAGATTTTTTTACCAACAAAGCCCCATGAAGCACACTGTTGTTCCATTAACCACTTTCCATTCCTCGATGAAGAAAGTGTGATAATGTCACAGGACTAACACACTGCAGCATCTGGAAACGTTTTGTTTCCTGGCGTTTGTTCCAGGCACGTGTCAGCGTTCTTCACTGAGCTTGATGAGGCCAGTATTGGACTGTAATCTCAACAGCGCTCATTCATAAACTTCCACAAGTCCGTGTCCATCCTCTACTAATGAGGTCCTCTGTTCCAAGTTCCGACAAAAAAGCTGCTTCACAAAAATACCACTCTCACATTGTCAAACATCGCTTCACACAAATACCACTCTCACAATGTCATATTTTTAATGTAAAGTTTATACTTCTAATGGAATGCTAGCTGTTTTTAAGAATGTTGAAGAGAATACATTTTACAGTAATGTTTGCTGAAAATACCAATGATATTAGAAGTAAACTGAATAAAAGTCAGTGGTATTAAAAGGGCACTTATTTTAGTCAGAAGTGTTTAAAGCCTTTAGGATAATGCTCTCGTCAGATTAAAAAACTAATTAATACTCAACACCTTTGTGAAATACACACAGAAAGCATTAGGAATCAAATCTGATTACACAGCATGAATAGGGCAGATTTACACTGTGTTTATAAACAATTGTTCTTTCTGGTTAGTGTGATCTGTAATGTCAGTCTGATGGCTTTCTACAAAGCCTAATTATTACAAAGCCTAAATATTACAAACCCTGAAAACAGATGTGCTGTGAGCACAGGATGCAGGGACTAAGGAGCTCGTACTTCGGCGATTCATGTTCTGCAACTCAAAGATCAATAGTGTTATGCACCTTCTCAGGCCTCAACAGCACTATCAAGTATTATCTACAATGTCATGGTATTTCGCTCCAAAACTGCTATGTGTTCTGGAGGATTCAGGACTCAGTACCATTGCAATCTTGCAACACTTTCCCAAGGATCTCCTCTGTATCTGTTCTCACGTTTTGCTAAAAAACATGAGAAAGTACAAAACAGGTACGACATTGCATCTGCCAGAGGAGCCCCTCAGAATTTTCTGCCAAGGGACTCAAAAAGTGAATGAAAAATTTGTATGCACTCTGAGACACATTACCAGGAACTGTGTTTTCACAGAAGAACAGTAAAAGAAACAGGTCAATCATGAGCAATTGTTTTTCTGAACATTATTTGAGTAGATAGCCTCACAAAGAGACGAGAGCATTTTTTCATTATTTTGTAGAATCTATAGTCTGGCATGAAGTATTAAGTTATTTTAAATCTGACAAATAACACATTATAATTGCTTGCTAGACATACATTGACTTTTGGGGAAATGCATTTTGAGGCCCTTTGAAGCCATGAAATCTAATTAATGCTATATATCTTACTCACTTTGGATTTAGTACCTGCCTTTGAGAGAGCACGATTACTCCCTGAAACACGCCATTCACATTATTCAGAAATAAAATAAGAAGAGTCGATAAGACTTACGAAATGACCATGACACAAACTGCAAGTAGAGAATCTATGAGAAGAATGTAGTTCACAGAAAGCATATGGGCTTATTCTCTCTGAAAAACGAGAATTTGAATTGCAAAGGCTAAATTAGTAACATCTGTCAGAAAAGAAGCAGCCTCGTTTCAAATAAATCATTTGGTGAAATTTTTATCCTGCCCCGTTAAAATCATCAGAGATTTAGAGATTCGTAATTCTTTCCAGGTTTACTGGCAAACACGAAACTCAGGGGGCTTAAGTGGGGAAAGATTAACCCCATGTTCATACGCCTGTAACTTCTCAAATAAGGGCCCTTGCTCATTCCTCTGTAAATGGGAACAGAAGTAGCTCCAATTGAACGTCACTTCATAGATCCACCTCTGTGCTGGAAAACGTATACAAATATTATCTCTATGAGGTCAGTCCCAGGTTTAATACAGTGGCATCTCTCACATTCTGTAGGAGACTTGATCAAGGGGGAGGTTAAGAAGCGCTGCCTTACTCAAACTGATGAAATGTGACCTCATCATGTTTTGACAACTGGACAAAAGTGGGAAGTGTGCCGAAAACAATCCGCTTAGCTGTTTGAAGGTTGTTTGGATATAACCGTAAACCCCAGATCTCTGCTCTTGAACTCAAATCAAGAGAATTTGATTATGACGCCATCTTTATAATATAATAAAAGTAGCCACTTTCATGTCGTAATTACAGAAAAAAAGAAATGACTTTTGCTATCTAGATTTTCCGGTGACTTTGTGTCACAGGTTTTGCATCTCCTGCTCTGTGTATTCTGTGCTCTCCTCCCTTTCTTATCCTGCTTAGATTGCGACATGCCCTGTTCTAAATGTCTAATCCAGTGCCCCAGTGTCATGGTGACAGAGAGCACTGTGCTATGGGAGTTGCTGTCCATCAGATGAGACATTAAACTAAGGTCCTGACATCTTGGACTCTTTAAAATATCCCATGGCACAGTTTGAAAGATTAGGGGTGTTAACCTCACCGTCCTGGATACATTCCACTCTGGGCTTGTGCAATCTGGACTAACAAAAGTTCTCCCTTGATTTGACTGAAGGAATCATCTCTCACTTCTCCACCTGGATATGAGAACTGCACACCTCTATGTAAAGCCCTTTGAGAATTTGGGGACTGAAATGTGCTTTATAAATATAAGGCAATTAATTTTATTATTAACAACTGTTATTGTTTTTATTTCTTCTTAATATTTGCATGATAGTATACACACCCATGTACCCATTTCCAATACTAAATACATCATATATTTCCAATACATCTTGTACCTCCAGCAACCTTATTTACTGCATCTCTTGCAGAAAATGCGCAGCTTCTGTATCTACATTGATGAGACAGGAAGGAGACTGGGAGACCGTTTCAGGGAACATTTCAGAGCTGTGAGGATCAAAGATCTCTCCAAGCCCATAGTTTCTCATTTGACCTCTAACAGGCATGATCATACTGATCTCTCCGTCTGTGTTCTCAAAGAGGGGTTTCTCAACTCCTATTGCAGAACGACATCCGAAACCAAAATTATCCTAAACTAGGATCCTCTTTCTCTCAACAACTCTTCCTTCTAATCCCCTCTATTCATTTGCAGGTTTTGACTTCACACCTCTCTTCTCCTCTCTCGGCTTCAATCCACCTGAGTGCCCACCCTTCCTCCTCTCCACTCCCAGCTTTTGTTCTCCCATACTTTATCGGCTGCTGACTTTCCTCTCTTTCTCACACCCGAAGAAGGCTCCACAGCTGAAAAATTGTGTTTCTTTTCTTCTCTTTTCAGCACGGAATAAACCTTTACCAGAATACATAGTATACAGAGAATGCTTCTTCAATGGACTTTGAAATACAGTTTTGCTTTTAACTATGCATATCCATGCTCATCAGATGAAGAAATTAGTTGCACAATCTGCGAAGCAGGCCAGTTCTGTAGATACAAACCCAAACAGATAGAACAAAGGATGACTCAAAATATGTTATCAATGCTCCTTACTGTATATGCAAAACATGTAAGAACTGATGTAACAGGAAACTGACTCAAGTTTACAGATGACGCTGTTCTTGGGCTTTTGGGAAGTATCTGATCCTCAGGTCATAATGTCAGAGAGGCAACAAAAGAAAATGACACTTTAAACCTCATGAAACCAGCACTAGTAATTCACAAAAAGTCCTTTTTGAAAGCAAGATACTACCGATCACAGCAGGGATATTGGAGGAAAGGCTCTGAGGGGGATGCAATATTAAAGTTTAATAGTTTTAATCATGCACCCCAGACAGCTGGTGGACATAGGCATCTTATTCAAATGCAACAATTGTCAAACCATTGGAAAACACATAATGGAAAGGGGAGGAACGGTCCTGTTGACGTAAACTGAAATAAACTCTCTAAAGCCAAGTCTGTTTGCATATCTTGATGTGATAAAATTTCTCTCCATTAAGTTCCAGTGCAGTTCGATTCCACTACCATAATTTACTAATCACAAGACAAATGGATTTTGAAATCAGACAAGTTTATGGTTGGCTGAAGGTTGCATTTACACAATGCCTGTTGGTCTGTCCACATGGGTGTAGTGCCAATATTGTAACCTTTTAAAGCTAAAAAGGTTCTAATACTGACATATTTTATTTAGGTTTCCTAAAGTGCTTCATCAGGTTCAACAAAATGAACAGAACTCTCTTCACTGAGTCCCACTTCTAATCGGAAACAATTGCAGAGAAAACATACGATAAAACCTGCATATAGTAGCTTTTAAATCACACAGGAAAGGGGCACAACTGAACTGCACGAAACAGAGAAATTCAAGAACTACCGTATACATACACTACAGTACATGGCATATAATCACCGATAACACTGAAAATCCAACCAGTTAAGACCTTCAAAGTTATTCTTGACAAGAATTCCATGACAAAACTAAAAAAAAAAAAAAAACATGATACAATTGAGTATTTGTTTTAGTTAAGAAGTTCAGTTCTGACATTAAAGATTCAAGAAAATAAAGACATTTGTTTGCAATGCTCATCTGTTGCATTTTTATGCCTCTCACGAAAACACAGCATAGATTGTCCTGCCTTGTATATTTATTTGGGTAAATATATATATATGGGATTTGGATGGGAGATGCACATCCAGGGACCTGTGGAAGGATAGAATATGACAGATTCTTCCAAGGTCCTGTTGTGAAAGCTGAGCTGCATACTCTTCTGTTTGGGAACACTGACTATAAAAGGAAGCTTTTGTTAAAACTTGGATGCTAGCAGAGAGACGACAATTCTGACAGTTGCATCAGAGGGAGAGAGGGGGAAATACATCGTTACTTAGTAGAAATCTGTGTAAAAAATGCGATTTGTTAATGCCAAAGTGACGTTTCTAATCCTTTCAAGATGGCAGGGGCTACAAATTCCACAGCCGACCTCCTGCAACTAATCTAGGTTTTTTTTTCACAGAAAAGTACAATACTTTAAACCACAGTAAAAGCCTCCCAACCACTAAACATTTACTTCCAGGTGGAAATAATTGCAGAGCCTCACAGCAGGCTTGGACAAAAAAAAAAAACTATTGCTGATTTAATTCCCAGCATGACCATTCCTAAGTACCACCATAAACCACTGACATGAGCTACATTTGCTTCTGTAATACATTAAGAGTAGCTGATTTCGAGTGGTCAGCCTCCTCAAAGTCATTGACAAAGTCAACCTAGCGGACACCTTTGCAATCAGCAGTGAAACTTGAAACAGAGGACACAAGTAGAACCTATGGAAATACGTTTTAAAACCATGAACAGGCGGCACATCTTTACACAAAGAGTGGCGGGAGTCTGGAGATCTGGAGAAGTGATAATTGTTTTAGCTGCTCAAGAAAGGACATGTCTGCCTTACTTAATGAGAAATAACATACAAATCTTTTTTTTTACTATACTGTAAATTATTGTTTATGCTCTAAAAACTGTAGTGTTGTATTTGTCTGATTTTTGAGAAACCCAATAAACAATACTGCAATATCAGCATATAACAGAAGCTGTTAGTACATTATTAATGCATTACTCACTCTTAACAAGGATTCTAGCTCCTTGTTATTACTTGCCCTTAAATATCAGATATAGATATATCACTGCTATATTACCCTTATCTCAGAACACAGGTTAATTGTAACATTAATGTGAAATATTCAATTCTATGTGTGATATGAACTGGAATAGCTTATTTCTTTAAAAGTGTTGTGTCTTTTACTGAGACTCTGATAATCATAAATCATAAATGATGACTAAAGAAAATAAAACAGCACAAGTTAAGAACAGGAGTGAATCATGCATGATCATATATAAAGAGCCTTGCAGTACTACATACTGAACATAATGCACTTTTTCTAAAGCCTTGCTTTAGTTTGCAGCACTGTATGAAATCCCAACAGCAGGCCTTCATTGTGAATATCAACATGTCTCTCAGTTCTGACATGCTAAATATTTTCTTTAAAAAGCGGTACTTCTTTGATCTGTAGTCATCAACAGGAAGGTGATTAGCTGAGTAATTTTTTTAAAAAAGCATATGTTTTCAATTTAAATCACATCCAGTGCTGCTAATAAAAAACCTACCTGAAAAAGGCAATGCGTGAAACAAACAGTATTCTGCTCACCACCACTAGAGAGGCCAAGCTACTGAGTAAAGGTATAATATTGGATATATTGGCTTATTAAACAGGATTTAATTAACATACAAATTCAGCCAGATCAAGATATTAATAAAATGATGCAAAATGAACAAGAAATGTTAATGAGTACAACTAAAATGTTGAACATTCCCCTGTCTGTTTTCACTCTGTTTAGACTACATGTAGTATATAAACGTCTAGTTTTGAACACATTTAAGCAATAATTTGGCTGAAAAGCTCCCTTTTTAATTTTTTTTGTACTTTCTTTACCATTAAAATCTTTGAATTTCTGAATGAAAGAAAATATTTAAAGTACTGGAGTAGCCGAAATGTCCCTCTTGAGTCATGCCACCTTCATTTGTCAGCCACACTTACATCATCCACTGGCAATTTTCCGTTCGCTTGCACCAAGGCTCCATGAATGCGGAGAGGGAAAGCTAATTAACGTTGTTGTTTTAGGACAGGGATTCCTGAATTAAGGGATTCATTAACCGAAAGAAATTCCAGTGAGGAATCGCTCAGAATTAAACCAGACCGGTGATGACTTACCTTCTTGTGGGGGAAAGCAGATTGCATCATGGCAGTTTCGAAGCTGTGTGCTCCCTTTAGCTGAGTCTTCTCCCACATCGACTTCAGAAGCTGCACCGCTTTGTCATCAGAAGCCAGAGGCTCACAAGACATACTCTAAGAAGAAGGAAAAGCCCAGCATAAGAGCTCTGCTAAGAGAAAGGATAGTATTGAATCAGCTAAAATAATCACACCTGGAGAAGAGGTATTTGAAGAGAGTCCTTTAGGACTTTTCCCCTATTAACTCTGATTACAGAGTGATGTGGACAACTGTAAACTGCCTGCAGAAACCTTAATTAAATGCAGGGACTGTGGTTAAATAGGTAGGTGGTGATACACCTTCATGGCTTCAGTAAGTGTGGAGAAATGGCAATAAGTGATGACAACAATGACAACACACAGGTGGGTGGGCTGGGCTGTACGACTGAGAAATAATATCTGAAAAGGGGAGAAACCTGGTGACAGTCTCTTTAGAGAAAGCTTCCTCAAGGTCACTGACAGACATAAGTCACAAGTTCAGGGACTTTTCTTTTCTCTGTTGTGTTTAAAATAATCAGCAAATTCCGATCTTTACGTTCTGCGCGTGTATCGTTTTTCACATACTGGGCTCAAGTGGAAGCAGCCTTGGCTTCGTATCCTCTGACAGGTTTTCTTCAGCTAAGAGCTACAGTACTGAATCTATCCTCACAAGTAGAGCTGTAATGAACAGCAGCAGCAAATGCAGTGTTCATGGCTGATATTGACAAAAACAAGAGAAACATATCCTATCAAGTTTGATTAAATGTGAAAAAAGGTATTGACCTTGTGCTGTGAGTTTTTTACTATTTACAGAGTATTGGGCTACCTGTGTCTGAGTTTCCCGAGACATAATCAAGATTCATAAATCCTAAATGACTAATTGTTTAGCTTTAGCTAGGTAAAGACAGCCTGGCTCTGGAATGAGTATGAACAGGAGTCTGACCTGCCGGTACAAGAGCATGATTTGGATCCAGACTCTGGGCTGTCTGCTGCTGAGAGAGAAACTGGACTTGCTGTAGAGACAGTACTGTCCCTTCATAGGACAAGAGAAAAAGAGCTTTGCAACACAGCTCCTAATGGAATCTGAAACAGAAAGGAACATGTTATATGTTTCCTCACATTACAGGCGCATTTTGAAGGTTGCGGAGTGCTCTATGGACATTTCTTGAAAATTGGTTTTCATCCTGAGCTTAGGAAAACATTTTCCATAGTGCTGTAATCATAAAACAGTTTTGCGTGAGCACAAATGGGTCAAAAGTGCCCATCCCTACACTCATTTATTTTTCCCTTAAAATAGTTTGTACATACTGTAACCTTTTTTTGGTGGGGGTTAAACAGATTTGTCTGAATAGCAGACTGGCCTCTGGCACTCTTCCAGTTTGTCAGTGACCCCAAACAATGAAAAGTCCAGCAAATGTAACAGCTGCATTTGTTAGATGATGTTTTCTTGGTGTGTTTTTTGTCAAGTCTGTTGTGAGTTGCCACTTCACCTTCTCTTAGCAATGTCTCAGCCAAACGTAACGTCCAGTAAAACAGGAATACCTTAGTAAGGACAGTTTCACTGCACTAGAAACTACTGGAAGGAGTTTAATGTTTTGTCATTAAGCCTGCAATACGTAGATTTAGAAGTATATATCTGTAGGCTCATAATTTTTTAACACCTTAGCATACTCCTGTGCTCTGTGGTGCAAGGAGGTTTGTAGAAGTAATATAATCCCTCACATGGCACCAATTATCTTTCAGAAATGAAGGTAATAACAAACTTTCTACAAATTACCCCATACTAGTGCAGGTCATAGGTGTCTTTCTTTGGTCAGCATCTATTTCAAATACCGATACACAAACTGATTAGAATGGGGAACTCAGACAGATCTTGGATGAAGACAAAGACAAAGTCGTTCTGCGTGGAAACTGAATGCGCACAATATTCCACGTTCATAGCAGTGGTAATGTGCAACAGCTGTTCAGTTCTGTTAAGTGTTAATCACATGAAAACATCAATGACTCTAATGCATTATTTACTATACACATCACATTACTGCCAATCCTGCGAGATATCAATCGTGACTGAATCTGTCACAAAAAAGATTTTCAATTTTGAGTGGCTGCTTTAGAGTTTGCAATGTTGTTGTAAGTTTATATATGAAGCACAAATCTTTTGGAAACACCATGTAATGTATAATGTTGCTTTATTAGCCCTATACAATTTCTTGCATTAGGAATTCATCTTTTTGCATACCCCAGCTTGCTCTCCATGAGACACAGACAGGGAGAGAAGCTTGGGGTCAGACACAGGGTCAGCCCTGGAGCAGTTGGGGTTCAGGGCCTTGCTCAGGGCCTTGCTCTTGTTCCTGCCCTACAGAAAATTCAACATTAAATATTTTATTCTACTAATCTCCCTAGAAACAGAGAAACTTAATTACAGAATTAAATTGTTAATAACTTATTACAAATGAATGGGTGAACTTGGCATTCGATCGTCAGCTTTTCTGACAGCACATTATTTTTGAAAATATCTATATTTTTTACAGCTAATCAGCAGCATATTTTGTTAATATGAATCATTGGAATTTTCAGTTAAATAATATATTTTTTTACTATTTCCAAAAATCACTCTGCATCACACAGGGGGCATTGGAATGCATTATAGCATATCCATTGTATATGTTTAGAATAATCATTCTTTGTAAATGCAGTAAGGTGTCAAACAAAATTGTACCAGTATCGGAGAACAACATTAATAATCACCCTATGTGTACAGACAGTGAGCACTTTAAATGGCACATTTTATATTTTGAGACAAGGACTTACTAAGAATGGTTGTGGTGTGAATTACTAGTGACTATAGTTGAATTTCAACAAAGCTGAAATTATTTTAAAGTGCTGTTTTAATCAAAGCAATAGCCGAGCACAGTTGTTTATTATTATTGAGTATGACCAATTAGATAACGGTCGGACTTTTAGATTTGAAATGTATTTACTTCTTTCTCAGTTCAGTAGAATTACAAGCTAGACACTTGCCTTCGATAATGCATTGCTCTGGAACTGGAATCTGTTTTACCATCTCAGCGGAAAAGGCCTTCATTTTGCTGAGGTTGTCTCTGAGGTGCTGACACAGTCGATCTTCATTCTGCCCGTTGAGTGCGTCAGTCTGGGCGTTGCCACCCTGACAACTCTCTCTCACGCTGTCTGCTGAACTGTTCCCTTGCACAGCTGTGCCGCAGGACTCCTGCCCTGCAGGGGCCTCTGCGGGACGTTCCTCTTGGTCTGATCCCAATGGCAGCCTGCAGCTTTCTTGGCTCGGTGACCTCTCTGACAAACACACCTCCGCTGGCAGGTCTCCGCCGTCCTCTTCCTGACTGTGCTCCGAGTTCATTGATTTTGAACGCACTACATGAAGGGCCAGGCTTTTTGACCTGCAACCCAAACAAAAACAGTCATGGTTCTCCAGCTCAGGGGATTCGAAACAAGTTTTACATTACAGGAAATCCAGTTTTGTAGGACATCACATAAAAAAATCACATAAAAATACAGGCTTCATTGGAGTCTGCCATTGCTGGAGATTATCTAGGTGGATGCTGCACATTGGAGGTGGTGGAGGGGAGTTCCCATTACCTGTAAAGCGCTTTGAGTGGAGTGTCCAGAAAAGCGCTATATAAGTGTAAGCAATTATTATTATTATTATCTCAATTTCTGTTCAACGCCCTGAAAGTACAATACTTGCCCTGTGTAACTGGCCAATGCCCCAACAACATTTCAGAGACTGTGATAATATGTTAATGTCAGCACGATGTAACTTGTCTCTAATTATTTCAATATAAAATTATATTCCTTATAAAAGAAACTGTGATAAGATGTTATTTAATTATGATATGCAGAAATGACTTTAAGCTCACTTAGATTTAGGGAACCTTCAGCCAGAAATCTGCTCTACCCAAACATATTTGTGAGCAAAACCAAACCAGAGCGGTTTACCTGTTAAACCTCATTTCTTTCCTCTCCTCCTTGGCGGCCTGGCTGAGGCTGTATCTGCGGACAGGCCCTGGCGTGCTGTTCTCACTCATCATTTTCTCCTCAAAAGCCTGGATCTTTACCTGCAGCTTCTCACTTTCACCATCGTGCTTGACAGTCGGGTTCACGTCGCAGGCCTTGGGCGGATCTTCAGCCTTGTCCTCAACCCTGGGGTCAGACATGTTTTTTAAACAACAAATCAGCCCTCCATCCACGTCCACATCCTAAAGCCGCTTTTCCAATGGAAGATTCAGAGCCTATCCCAGAAGCACAGGGCAAAAGGCAGGACCGCCCCCTGGATGGGATGCCTGTGTGTCACAGGTCACACACAGGCACAGAGGGACAATTTACGGACAGTAATTAACCTAGACAGCATGACTTTGGAAAACAGGGGGAAACTGAAACACCTGGAGAAATCCTATGTTGACCAAAGAGAACATACAAACTCCACACAGACAGTCATGGGTCATGAATCGAACCCGGGACCAAGGAAGTCTGAGGCAGCTGCTCTAACTGCCATGCCAGTTACTGTAGGAATCAAGACATCAAAGGAACAAGTAATAGGTTTATTCCATGCTGAAAAAAAGCAGAAAGAAAACACAACGTTTTCGGCCGTGGAGCCTTCTTCAGGTGTGAGGAAGCTGAAGAAAGCTCCCACCTGACACCTGAAGAAGGCTCCACGGCCGAAAACGTTGTGTTTTCTTTCTGCTTTTTTTCAGCATGGAATAAACCTATTACTTGTTCCTTTGCAGCCTACCCATGCTGATGCAGTTTCCCGCATGAACAACTACGTTGATACATCAATATCAATCGATTTTGATTTTCAACAACCCAACCACAAAGGGCCAGTACAAACAAGAACAAAGGGAGAATTACAAAGAAAGTGCACATCTGTGATCTGAAGTTTTCTTTCGCAGACAGCTGAAACATTTTTGGGTGTACTCAAATATTCCAGTTTAGTTTTATAGAGCTACTATTGGCAGCGTGTTTGTATTCTGTTTTGCAACATGGTTTACAAACTCACAAACATCATCAAGAGAAAATTGTCCAGTCTGAGGTCATAGAATGAGACTTCCCATTTCTTGCAACAGTGGACGGTGAACAGTCTCTTAACAAAACTGAGATTAGCATTGTCGATCAGTCTCGACAGTCCAGTTTGCAACCAGTTTCAGCATTTACAGTCTGGCTGGTGTTATGAACCCACTAAAACAAGCACCCATCATTTTAAAAACATTCTCATCCTTCTGCTATACAAACTGCGCCTTCTTAACGCTTGTAAATAGCTTGGCAATGTGTTGTGCAAAGTAAAACCTGTTTCTGAATGGATGTGTGCCTTATTGATTCCTGGAGCACTATGTGTCACTTGGCAGATGAAGTATCTACGTATATTGTACGTGTTAAAACATTGCAGAAACAAATGACATAAGACAGCAAATCAAACCGATTCCTGTTAAAGGTTACACCATCCTGAATAACATTACGGGCGCCCAGGGCCCAAGGCCAGACCACCATGTGAATGCAGAGCACGTACATGCACCTGTGTGCACAAAAACACAGAGACACCAATGTACCATCATGACTTTGGAAGACAGGAGGAAACCAGAGGAAAACCCATGGGGACCCAATTCTACATGCTTACAGTTTCAGCTCAGTGTGGAAAGAGATAAGACACAGTGCATGTTGGGTTCCTGAAAACAAACACAATAAATATTTTACAGTTTAACATGTCTAAATGACAATTTTCACTGAGGGGGTTAAAAGCAGTTGTCTGTAAAAGGGAATAAGGTCACACAATGGAAAACCATATTACTTCATTTTGATTGCAATAACAAAATCCCACAAAATTCCTGTTAATTCAGGAAACATCAACCATATTGCTGAGCTATGATATTGCATGTCACCGGCCTGTTGCCAGTGATGATCTGACACGAATGTTACAGGAACTCTATTTGCATGACCTGGCCTTTTCATTATTCAATTAGACCACGACTCAGAAACCATGGAAACACCCGCCTACACCACCTTACACCACCCTTTGAAAAAGTGCATTCGGATCAGAAAAAAATATCGGCTCTTCAATTTTTTATTTCTTTTGTCTATTTTGTTAAGACAGACACCATATCCATCACAGAGGTGGGTATATCCCTAAGGCAAAACATAACCTGTAAAGAAATTTAAACCTTGGCCAATACAATGCAATGTATATTCCATATGTGGCAAGAAACCAGACCACAGAAAAATATCAGATAAATACAAATAACTTTCTTATTGATGTTACATTGAATACTTTTCCTCATTTCTTTCTAAATTCCTACAATTCTCTTCAAATGACCCAAGAACGACAAGCAAGTTATGCAAGTACATTTAACGTGCTCTTATTACACATGCCTTGTCTTCAAATAATGAGGTTTCTAAGTCGATTGTATGTAATTGCATAGAAATGTCCTCAGTCACCAAATAGAAAACCATGTCTGCAGGTTGCAAACATATATATTCCAAGTGTTGCTTTTATTTGTGAGTTGCAGTAATGGCTATGTATGACTATTTGTTTCTGTGATGCATAATCCTGTGGATCTGCCTTATCATTCCAAATTAAATGCTAAAACAAAAACTCCTATACTATTGGAAATAAGAGAAAATAGTTCCGGTCTCCCATGGACTTTCCTTTCCTTCAACAATTGTTTTCCGTTAGATTTCTTGGCTTGAGATTAGAGAAGCCCTTCATTCTTGCCAAGGGATATTGACAATGGAAAGACAGTCAAAGGAAAGTAAGGTCAACAAAGCAGCTGTCTATATGTCAAAACATACATTGCCACAGTCTTTTCCACACTGCGCGGATATACACAAGCAAAATAAAAGGTATAAAGAGATACTGTACATAAAACATTAAGGAAAGAACATATTAGAGCGTTTCACTTCAATCACTATTTTGGCCAAGCATCCCTCATCATTGAGAGGCAAAGGGGTACAGAGAAGATAACCTTCTGAGACCTGTAACACACTCTGTGGTACCTGCCTGGAGAGGGAACGGTCAGATTCCAGCTTCTTAACTAGCAGCTTGGCTATGGCCGTGAAGCTGTTGCTCATGCGGTAGACGTCCTTGCTGTAGGCTCCCAGGATGCTGCTGAAGGCGTCCGTGATGCCCTTGATCTCCAGCAGGAGTGTGTGGTGAAATGCGTGCTCCATGTTGGCCAGGGTAGTCACAAGGTACACAAGACAGCTCCTGGCCTGCTCCTGGAAGGGCAGATCAAGCACATTATTCTACACGTACTGTAACGTCCTCTTGACTTTCTTTTTTTGGCAGAAACCTTTCAGATGGTCGCCAAATCCCTTTGCCAGCTGGTTGGATGAGGGTCTGATGCCTTTTCTTTGTATTTCCAGGCTACTAATAGGGATTGGCCTCTTGCAATTGGTATAAAAGTGTTTAGACTCATCCTTCAAATATGCAGTATTTTGTAGTTGCTTCCCTTTGCATTCCATTATATGCATTACAAGAAGGTAATTTTTAAACCTGAAATACTGCTTATCTACAATGTTTAAACAATGTTTTTTTTCATTCCATATTATGTGATTCCCACCACTAGCACCAACTGGAGTGATGGCAGCTGAGTGAACAGCACAGAGTTTCACGAAGCCTGCTTCTGTACATGGCACTCAGGAATTACTCCATTATTATAATGAAAATCAAGAGCAAACAGAGCTAGAATCAGGTGGAGCAATGTTGAACATGGCCTCACAGTGGTTTGTGTGTTAAAATGAGGACTTTACATTAAAAAAAAACAACTCAATATTTAACAACTGGACATATTAGTGTAGAGCAAACAGAATTCACATTGATTCAGCTGTACTAACAAAAAATCCCTGCCAAGTCAGTTTCACAACTGATGTCTTACATACCAGAAGTTTTCAGCCACGCGAAAGATCCACAAACTCATCAAACTTGGTCTACTGGTAAGACTTACAGTGTAGGTGGGTTGTTTTGGATTTGTTGTCCTTAGCTGTGTGTGACTCTGGGACCAAACTATTTTGTTGTAATTTTCCCATTGCCATTGCTGTGGCGAATCACAAGATTTAATTATTTAAAAATTCAGAGAATTTCCTTTCTCTTCACAGTAATCTTTCTGTTGCCATCTCTTTCTTTCTCACACACCACTATGCTATGAAGCACTTGTAAAATAGTTCAGTGCCCCAGTATAAGAACACTTAATTATATTTATTTTCATTTAACCTGTAGACAGTATCTGATTAAAGTCAGCAGGAACGGTTGTAGATAAGCTTAGAGATTCATATATCTCTAAAAACACATTCCAACAAACTAGATAAGTCCATTTGCCTGTTAAACTTAACCCAAAAGTAGATTTCTAAGTGAAAAAAAAAACTATTTGAAAAGCACTGGGGGAAGGTTTCTTGCACAAATGAATATTTCCCGGTCATAACAAGTTGATGACCCATATTCATGTGAAAGTATCTATTACCTGGTCCAATTAATGTTTTACCATTCTTTTCTCTTTTCTTTTTTGTGAATAAGGCACACTGAGCTTCTTTCTTTATCTTTCATATTGTATTGCTTTATATATGTCTACATACATGTTTCTAAACACTTGTTTTTCTTTTTATCAATACTATGCTACTATGGAAAAAGCACTATTGAGGGTAAAAGGAGGAGAGAGAGTGGGGTAGAAGTGATTGTATTTCTGAATTTCACCATCTGTTTGAAACTAGCCTTGCCAAAGGAACAAGTAATAGGTTTATTTCTTGCTGAAAAAAGAAGAAAAAAACACAACGTTTTGGCTCTGGAGCCTTCTATGGGTGTACACGAAAAAGGTTCCACGGCCTAAACGATGTGTTTTCTTTCTTCTCTTTTCAGCATGGAATAAACCTATTACTTGTTCCTTTGCAGCCTATGCATGCTGACGCAGCTACCCACCTGAACTATCCTTGTTAAAAACTAATAAACCTACTTATCAAACAAAACATTCTCCACTCATGCTTTTCAGCTTCTCAGCCAGTTAGCTAATTAAAAAGACACAAAATGTAATCTGATTGTACACATTATGTACTGAGCCCACTACGATTTGTCTCAGAAAACCTTTCAGTAAAGCACAAAAGCTACTACATGTTCTTTGGGAAACAAAAACGTCAACCCACACTAAAATCTTCCCCCTCTAAAAAGTTACACTAAAAAGTCAAAAGCAAATTGCTCCCTTCTGAAGGGAGTTAATAATGTGAAAACACTCCTTTGCCTATTCAAGATCACGTCCTGTACTTCATTTACATCAGGACATTTTCTGTATATAAGAGGTGGGGCTGCACCAGTAGGCACCTTTCCTCCTCCACTAGAACCAAACTAATACCCCAGTATGGAGACAGGGGACACTGTGCTCCAATGCTAAACCCAGTTCTTATATATTAAAAGATCCAATAGTCCTGTTCAGGCCTAGGGGTATAAATCCTGGTGTCCTGTCTCAGATTCCCCTTAGGCCTGAACTACCTGAACCAGCTAAATTCTCCCTTAATTCAGTTGGTGATATACAGTGGTTTCTCACTTTTCCACTTTCTGCTCTGCAGGGGGACTGCTAGTGCAAAATGGCCACTGAGTGTCACTCAGGAGGGGTGTACCTGAGGGGTGGGAGAATTGTGTAAAGTGCTTTGAATTCCTTTGAGATGAGAACAGGGAATTATGATGAAAACAAATCAAGAAATTGGTGTTAACTGGAACTGGTTTAAAGGAATTTCTAAAATCACAGTGGCAGCAACCGATTCTACAGTGAGCAAAACCACTTCTGATAGTCAGTTCAATCATTGCCTTGAACACGAGAAAGGTTACAAATGAAAAGTGGCCATTATGACAGTCTTAATAACTTTGGATGAGTTTTCCCCTATTAGTGTCCTGTTGCTCACTTCACCATTCTGTTTCTGAGCTCTTTCAGAACTTTATGTTATTATATTATTATGATGTTTCCTAATTAATTAATCAAAACTGATTTCAAACAGTTTTTTACAAAATGTAGACACCCTCCTACATTCGGCAAGTTCTTTCCATGGCTACATTGTTTTGTTTTCCACTTTTAGGACTGAGAGCAGCAGAACACAGGGACGTAGCCCTTCTGCTCTCTGAGCTGTTAATTTGGTAATTAACTTTTATGGCAGGGTGTGAAAGTTCTGACCAGTCTATTAATAGCACACCGCGTACACAGAAACAATGCCTGCTTTTACTGAAATACGTCATCTGAGGAACTACTCCATGTTTCCGTTTTCTTTAACTGCTTTATCCTCGGAGGCCCACAGTGATCTGAAGCCGTTCCAGGCAGAGAGAAAGTCAGAACTCCACACTGGACTGGATGCCAATCTCTTGCAAAACATACACACAGGCCTCCTGACCCACACTAGCACATTGGGGGGGGGCAATTGAGAGGCGTCATTGAAACTGTACTGCATGTCTTTGGATGGCGGGAGGAAGCTGGAGCACCTGGAAAAAACCCACATGAACGAGACGAGAACATGCAAACTCCATACAGAAAGACCCCCTCCAGGACAGAGTCTAATCCAGGAGCGCTGGGAGGTACCTACACCACATTGCCACCCCTGTGGTACTGTTTCTATTCAAGTTCCTCCCTAAGTCTATCAGTGACACTTTCTCTTCTCCACTCCGTGTCACTCAGTGTTCCACAGATAAAAAATACATATAAACAAAGAAAACAGCACGTGTCTTGTAGGATGTCACCATCCTACTCCTACTTTCAAATCACAATTTTATGTTAATTCTAAGGGTAGACACAAAATATTAGAGACAAATACGCTGAAAATATTATAGTATTCATTTTGAGAAATATATCTTATTGGTCTACATCAGTATGATGACAAATGTACAAAGTTATGAAACATTTAGCAAATAATTTGAAGTGATTTACTCTCAGCATTCAATGTGCCTTTGAATTTAAAACACCTGTTAACCAGCCCGGCTACTTCGCGGGAACAGAGAAAGAGGACCGCCTATCTGATAATTATTCCTTATGGCTTTGAAAGGCTTTTTACATTTCAGCTTGCTAAAATCTTTATCAAAGCACCACAGACACACAGGGTATTAGCTGAGCGGAATACTGGAAAAATGTATGTTAATTTATAAAAATTTCGTTAAGTATAATGGCAGAACTTCAAAAAGGAACATACGGAATCGTGTAATAGCAGAGTATCTTCTTGACATTTAACTCGGCAATGTGTTCACCAACTTTTACAAGTCAGTAATGTCCAATACATTTACTTGGACCATTGTGTCCCTTGAACATGATACTTTTTTATAAGGAAGTGTTCTGTTTTCAATGAAAGATTTAAAAAAACATTTCAGAATTACCATCCTATATCCATTCTCCTGTGCAGATAATACTTTATAGAACATTTTTATGTTCCATTATCTGTAAAAAAAAAAGATGAAACAGCATTTGCTTTCAGCGTATTTTATCAATTAGGTTGCATCATTGTCCAAATGAGAAGAGTTGTCCAAAACAAACTGAAGCCACCCGAACAGATGTGTTGACTAAAGCAGACTAACATCAAGAACAAAGAGGAGACTTTGCTTAGGATTTATAGATCGAGTAATGCAGAGTGAGGAACTGAGAGTCACTAAAATCTCAGCATGCTAAGGGCTGTAATGGCTTTGACCCAAGTGACCTCTGTACAGTTCCTGTGCTAATCACATAGCAGGGATAATGTTTCATGTGTACCACAAGGATACACCAACTAAATTAAACTGGCAGAAGAAGTTCCGGTTTTTATATCAACATGATCTGGACACAGACAGCATGCCAGTTGTTGGGGGTGGTGGCAAGGCTCTGAAAAAACACAGGGCAAGCCATCTGTTCTGCAATCTTATTTTGTGAAAAACTTCAGCCAAATGTCTGCCTTTCGTCTGCTTACTGATAAGGCGCAACTCCCACAACATAAGAACATAAGAAACAAACAAGAAGAGGTAATTCTACACATTTAGGCCATTTGCTAGCTGGTAGCTGACTGATGCAAGGATCACATCCAGCACGAAAGAAGCCAGAGAATCCTTTTCAACAACATGGCTTGGTAGCTTGTTCTACCCTCCCACAACCTGATGTATAAACTTCAGAGGAGCTCAGCAAAGAGCCCTGTTTTAACTTCAGTAAAAGAGGACTGTTTCAGCTTCAGTAGCTCCTGTTTCTCAATCTCAGAGTCTAGGGAATGGAGAGAATTTAAATGTGACTCCTTGTTCTGTACTTTATCGTGCATTTGTGACTGAGGGACCAACATCTGATTCCAAGTTCTTTCACTTCACAAAATCATTGTTAATTACTAACATTGTGATATAAAAACATGATCTCAAGAACTGTAAAATATATAACTCTTTACAATTCTCAGTGCAAGTCTGCTAAGAATAGGTGCACAGCAGAAATAGATCTTTACAATCAGTTTTTACACAAAGCAGTCGAATGCACCTTTCTCTTTGAGCTTTGATTGAGTAGAATCGGTGAAATGAACAGAACAATACCTCGTCAGTGCGTCCCACAGCACCATAGAGTTTTGCAATTTGTCCAAGGAGATTCGGAAACTCGTTTCCAACTGCCTTTAGGTTAGGAAGGTAATGGGCAACAACTGAGGGGTTACAGAGCGAAATTTCTACCAGTACATTAAGGATGGAGTCATTCACGCTGGGGTCATTTAGGTAGCTGATTAACGAGGGGACAGAGGAGCTCAACTCCTGGAAAAAAAAAGAAAAAAAAAGACACTTTAAAAAACAGTAAAAGTAAGATATCCAGCTGCTGCAAACTAGTCAAGTTTTTATGACAGTACCTTGGCTCATGTATAACTGCAGGGGGCCTTTGTTTAAGTGTTTCAACAGTTTATGGGACAGTATTCACGAAAGAAAAAGTTCCTCTGACACATACAGTACTGCATCGCGAAGGTTTTCTCCATACCACAGTCCCTCAGGAGTAAAAGCAGCTCACTGCTCATTGGCTGATCCAGAGCCGCCTACCCTTCAATGTTATTTCTTTTACTAACAGCAGTGGTTTTAAAAACTCTTCATGAGGCTCCAAAGAGATCAGAGTTTAAGATATCTTTTTGTTTCTGTGGAACAGATTTGCAATTGAAATTTTTGGAAGGGTCAGCTAAACAAAACTCTACAAGGGATACAATGACATCTCAGAATTCTTTGCTGTGTTAACTTCTGTCCAGCAGTAAACAATCTTGGTGTG